TTTTAAAAAAAGAGGCAGGCTAATCCTCTTAAACCAATTCACATGATTTATACCTGGAAACCCCTCAGCTGAAGGCTGTCCCAGGTCTTCTGCTTCCTGCCCCTGCTCTGACTTATGTCCCCCCAAACCCTCAACTATTAGGTTCCAGCTGCAAACCAACCTTGGCCTATTTTCTTCTTCCCCACAGATCACACCTGAATATGAAGAGGATAGAATTAATTTATTAATAATTAATAATGCATCTTGAGCAGCCTAGGGCTGAAATGTTGAGTGAAGGGTGGAGAGGCCTGGTTGGGAGTTTGGGGGGTGCTTGTCCATGAAAGTTCCCACAGGTCTCACTTTCACCTATTCCTGTAACAGCTGGCCACCTTAGTTCTGGAAGAGACAATCCCAGATTCTGGTGACTGGGGACACAGTTCTAATGGAACCTATGGAAACTCCAGGGCCCTCCTTTCAGGAGGGAGCCATAGGCTTGGCGGAACTGGCGGTTCATGGCTGCGTACAGCACAGGGTTGATGCAGCCATTAAGCCAGGTGAGGTTGGCAGCCAGCATGTGGACAACTCGGGGAGCCTGGACCTTGGAATCCAGGATGTTGAGTAGCAAGAAAGGGATGTAGCTCAGGGTGAAGCAGAGGAACACAGCAAAACACATCCGGGTCACCTTCCCAAACTCTGATGGAGAGTCCTGAGTTCTCTGGGCTCCTTTAGTCGTCCTGGCCTTGGCAGCCACTTCTGGAGGGTTTTTCTCTGCCATCTGCTTAGCTGCCTTACTGTTGCTCTGGTCCCTGACTTCTGATGAGTCTCCTTCCAGGGTCTGGGTGGTGGCAGCACTGACTGGCTCAGATGAAATCCCCTCACTGGGTCCTCCGGATGCCAGCCCACTGTCTAGCTCCTGGAAACGACCAGGCACGGCCTTATCTGCCCCCGCCACATGGTTGGAGCGGATGCTTGCCTGGCGCAGCTTGTACTGATCTAGTGCCTGTGCTGCTTGCTTCACCTGCCGGTGGATGAGGCAATAGAAGACGCCGACACTGCTGAGCCCAACCACAAAATAGATGCCCAGGAGGACAGTGGTGTAGGGCTGGCCTCGGATGCGGTCAAAGCTGCAGGTGCAGACTACGGGCACCAAGATATAGATCGGCCAGAGGGGAGCGAAGCTGGCCACAGCCACCACCCAGGTGCTCACCAGTGCCAGCACTATGCCCTTGGCACTGAAAACTTGGGGAAAGAGCTTAGGGTGGGCAATGAGGAGATAGCGTCCCAGGGCGATGAGGCAGAGGGTGAGGATGGAGACAGAGTTGGATACGAAAAGGAGGAACCCAAAGACCCGGCAGAAGGTGGCACCAGTGCGCCAGTGGAGGTGGAGGTAGGTGTCCACTGAGAAGGGCTGGAGAAGGGTGCAGTAGAGCAGATCAGCCACTGTGAGGTTGGCGATGAGCAGGTTGAAGCGGGTGCGGAGCTTGGGCTCGATGGCCAAGGCCAGCAGGGTGAGCACGTTGCCCACGGTGCCCGTCACGGCCACCACAATTCCCCAGCTAACTGCCACGTAACGATAGCCCAGCACAGACTCATGGTAGCAGGAGAAATTGACATCAGAAGTGTTCAGCATGATGGAAGCTGAAAGGGGTGGGGAGAAGAGGGAGTCAGAACCTGACCTTGAACTCAGATCTCTCGAATAACTCTGGGCTTCTGGGCACCTGAACTGTTACAGGAGCTCCAGAGCCATTCCCAAGCCTTTTCATCCCAAGATCCCCAATCTCCTCTTTCCCATTCTCAAAGATTTTCCCAAATGTTTATCTATTTTACCTATGAAGTTTCTGTCTACTCCAATCTCCAGGCCTTTTCAATATCCATCCAGATACTCTCCCCTGTCTTTTAAGACCACCCAGGAGTCCCCTCTCCTCTTTTATTCAGAATAGTCCTTTCTGTCTGTAGTCCCTTCTGCCACACACACATAACAGGCCCCAGTTTTTTATTGTTTGTTTGTTTTTACCACCTGGGAGATGAGGAGACAGAGAATGTAAAAGTATATCCACCACAAAAGTACTCACCTGAGTCTCCCAGCCTTCAAATCTCTCTTCAGTGGAAGAAGTTCAACTCACTCAAAGCACAGTCCTTTCTGGTGGGCAGTCAGGCTTCAAACAGGAGGTGCTCTGCTCCTATTATACTGACCTGAAAGAACAAGAAACTCCCCAGTTACCCAACCTCAGCCACTTCCTCCCTTGCCTCCGGTCCTACTCATTTGGCTTTAACTAGTGAAATATGGGGCTTCTTTGTTGAAATTTCCTTACTACTTACCGCACTGGACACCACAAATGATGTAGCCAGTCCTGGCTAGGACAGTGGTTGTGGGAATTGACAAAAATGATCAGGATCCATAGGTTATTGAGAAGCAGGATTTATTTAATGACTCATAGGAAAAAGGGTTAGAAGGAGGGAAGACTAGGAGGATGCCCACTTTTCCAGGTGGGAGTGGTTCTCTTAATCAATGAGATAGGGAATGTGGGAAACATTGCAGGCTTAGGAAGGGGGTAAATAATGAATTCAATTTTATATCAGATTTGAGGTACCTGCGGGATATGCTAATATCTTAGCTCCTCTAACCCAAATTTCTTCCAGCCCCCCTCTCTCCACATGTGATCCAGCCCTACTTTTCTCCACCCACTTTTCTATCTGGCCACTTCTGCCCCTCAGATTTCTAGATCTCTAGGCTCTTTTTTGAGCTAGATCAACCTGAAAACAAAACAAACACACATACACACAAAACCCCTCAAACGCCTTGTTGGGTTCTATTTCTGAACCTATAGCAAACTCCCACCCCCAACTTTGTAACTAACTTAGGAGGCCTGATTTCCCTCATCTTCCTCTTTAACCGTCCTCATCCCACCTTCCCTCCCCCTTTCTTCCGGAAGACTGGGAAGTGGGTAGAGAGGTGGAAGTGAGCAAAGAAGATGCAACTCAGGATGAGCCCACGTCAAGGCTGGATTCTGGTCTGGCCTTTTTTTGTTGACCTTCTTGCTGCCCTGCCGGGCTAGAGGGAGGGGGGTCACAGAATAACTGGCTGCTCTTGGGAGTGTGTGGTTGAACCGAATCCTGAAGATGAAGAGACCCCTCCCCCCAACATCATGTGAGAGGCAGCTAGTGAAGTGCGCCTTCCCGTCCTACAGACCATTTAGGGAACCAGATGAGAAGGCATTCTAGTATCGTTGTAAACAGCACGGTCCCAGCTCTTTAGTCGATGATCCATGAAATCAAATGAACTTTTAAGAGACCCAAACTGGCTCATTTTGCAGATGGGGAAGTTGAGGACTAACCGCAAAGTCACTATTTATATGGAGCCGAGTAGAGCCTAGAGCTCAGATTCCCAGGTCCCTCCTCCCATCTCCCCGTGCTTTGAGTGTCTCTGGCGTGGGTTTCCCACTAGAGGCACAAAAGTCTGGATCCTTTCTTTGTCTGAGACCGGGTCTGAGACCAGTCTCCTAGGACCTCGAGACACCACACCACACTGGAGCGTTTTAGCCCCGCGGTTTTCTTTTCCATGTCGTTGTCGCCGCCTGGTGGAGTTGCGACGAATTCTCAACAGCCGTGGCTGCAATCCGAGACCTGGACTCGAAATGATTCCCCGGGGCCAAGTTGACACTTGAGCTGGGCCGGAGTGGGGGTGAGCGGGATGGGGAGTATTGCTCGTTTTGCGAAAGCCTCGAATCTTGCCTCCTCCCAGCCCGGTTTTACCATCCCCCTCCTCCTCCTGGCTCTCTTTCATATGCGCCCTTCCCCGCCCCCCGCCCCCCATCATACACACACACACACACACACACCCCTTCTGATGGAATTGCTCCCCAAAACAGCAGGCAAAGATTGAGAGTCTGAGTCTGAGGGACGGAGGGCAACGAATCCAGATTTTATTGTCAGGGACTGGGAAAGGGGGAAGACGTGGGTGGGGGGCCGGGGTTGCTACATCGTCAAGCAGAAAGAGTTGATGTGGAGGGGAAGGCCAGTGGGGCCCGTCCCTCTTCCGGGTCGGTGCTGGAAGGGCTGACGATAAGGAAAGCACAGGGGGTGGGGGAAGGGAAGGTCACGACCCCGCCCGAATTGTGCAGTGGAGGTGTCTGGTGGGAGGGGACAGCCTTGAGGTCTAGGAACTGGGATGGGGGAGGCTACAGACTGCAAATCCTGCGGGAAGGGGCGGGGCGGGGGCGAGGCTTCTATTGCTTTTTGCTCACAGTTTTGCGGAAGGCGAGGCGGGGGTGGGCTTGGACTGGACACCCCTTGCCCCCCTTGGTACCCCTTGGGCGATGGGTGCTGGTGAAAAGAATGGAATCCGGACTGGGAAGGAAGAAGGTGAGGGGATGGGTCTATAGGGGCATCTACTTGGTCCCACCCAAATGCCAGAGATGCCCCCAAGTGCTGCCCGTGGGCCCGGCTAGACCTGGGCTGGGGCATGATGCGGGGCGGGCACAGTGAGGTTGCAGGCGGTAAAACCAAAGTGCTTATGAGGGACCCAGGATCCCGCCCGCTCCCCTCCCCCTGCGGAGGACAGGGGTGTTCACGGAAGCGCTTCAGTTTGGGGGTAGGGGGCGCCGGAGTCCCAGAGTCCGCTTATTGCCAAGAAAATCCATTTCTGCCCCCTGGACCCCGACCATGGCTTGTGAACCCCGTTTTGTGCTAGGTTTGGGGGAAGGGCTGGATGGACATGGCTTTTGGGAGGGGGGGTGTCTCCAAGGGGGCTCGGGGGTGAGACGGCCCCCCCTTTTCTAGGGGAGAGGGAAGGGCAGGGGGCGGGGTTCCCTGAGATCTGGGGTGTTCCCCCCCTTCTGAAGCCCCCCTCCCCCGCTACCCCTCCCCTTTCCTGGAACCCTGTACCTCGGGGTGGGGGGGAGGGAGAGAGATCATTCAGGGAGTGCCGGGAGGAGGGGCGGGCTGGGTGCCCGGAGGCCTGGGTCCCGGCTGGAGGTGGGGGGGGGGTTGAATGGGAGGGGGTTCAGGGTTCAGGTTTCAGGTCAGTAGGGGGAGAAGAGAATGGGTCCGTGCGCAGTTCGGATGGGCCCGGGGGCGGGGTGGAGCAGGGGATGGGTGATCGGCGGTCCCTGGAGAAGAGGTGCGGCTGGAGCCGGGCGCAGAGACAGCGGCGAGCCTGCTGCCGCTGCCATCACCGCAGCCACCGCCAGGGGGCTGGGGAGCAGGCCGCCGGCCAGGGACTTGGGCAGTTCCTTGGAGAAAGTCAGCGTGCCCTGCAGGGGGAAGAGGGCGGGGAGGGGAGAGGGAACAGTCATTCTGTGGCCTGGCCAACTCCACCTCTCCCAGGGCGGCCGGCATCCCCTCTCCTCCCCGCTCAGGTCTCCCGCCTTGGCCAAATTCTCCATCGTCCAGGCCTCACCGCTAGTTCTCCAGCGCCCCTAGGCTTCTTGTGACGGCTCAGTAGCGGGTTGGGCTTCCCGGCCACGCCATCTCGGTGCCGCCGGCTGGAAATGTGCTGTAAGGACCAGTGGGTGGGGGCCCGTGAGCCATGGGGAAAGGAGCGGCCGCCAGGGAGCAGGGTACTCACACCTCAGCACCCGGGCCTGCCCCTTCTGTGGCACCAAAGGGGAGGACCCTGAGGGAATGCCCTCACCCAAGCTCCCCCTCTCTCCTCCCCCTTAGCAGGTGCCCTCCAGAGGATTCTTGGGGAGGGCCTCAGACCCACCTGTTTCAGTTGGACCTCCGAGTTGACCTTGACATTGCAGATCTCACAGTGGAAGGTTCGGTCCTGGGCAGGGGCCTCGGGCTCCCCAGGAGCGGGAGGCCCCAGCCGGGGGTAGGCTTTGATGGGGCCCAGGCCACTGCGGGCCTCCAGAATGGTCTTGTGCTTCGTACCTGAAGCCCGCAGGGGGCAAGGGGTGGAGAAAAATTCTCCAGGCCTGCTAGGCCTCAAACACCCTCATTTCCAATGACAATACTGACGGGCTGCACCAGGTGTGGGGCTTTTGCCAAGCCCCTTGCGGCCCTTTCAAAGGTGGGTCAGGGGAGAGTCATAATTACAAGCAGTAAGGTAGGGAGGGGGTGGGGAGGAAACTGAGGAGGCCAGAGGCTAAGGAATGAGGGAGATGCTGAGAGGGAGACAGGCTGGTGAGCCTTAGAGGGTCAGGCATGTTGGAAACCCCGGAGTTGGGAGGTAGGGGGCAGTAGCGGGCTGAGGACAGGGCAGTGGGCCTGCGGGAGGGGAGGCCATACCTTTGTTATGTGCCTCAAGCTGGGACAGGGAGTTCACTGCCACCTTGCACAGAGCACAGTAGAGCAGCCTCTTGGCCTTCTCTTCCTCTTCCTTGCTACCCCCAGGCAGGGAAGCTGGGGCTGGAGTCCCCCCTTCACCCTTGGTCGCACCCTGACCAGTCTCCGGAACGCTGGGAGGGGATGGGGAGCCAGGCTGTTTCTCTGGGGATCCTGGGGCTGGACCCACTCCATTCTCCATGGAAACTGTCATTGGGGGAGAAACATAGGGATCATCCCAGATAGCTTTCGGAGAAGATTCTTTATGTGGAGGAGACCTACCCCCATTTCCTGGAGGGCAGGGGCCCAGGAGTCCCCACCCTGTGACAACATGCATACACTCATGCCCTGGACCAGAGCCACGTGTGGTCCAGAGCCACGTGTGGTCCAGCTGCTGCAGGCTGGGTGTGAGACTCCAACGCCTGGCTCGCTCTCCATAAGCTGGGAATGGCTGATGGGTCCGAACCCACCAGCCTCCCGTTGAGCCAGGGTGAAGCTGGCAGCCAGTCTAGCCAGGGGGAGAGCGGCATGGAGCAAAGAATCTCCCCTCCAAGGCCTGCCAGCCAGCCTGGGCTTTCTGCCCGGCCAGCCCCCTCTCAGAGGCCTGCCCAGTCCCTGGGGAGGCATGCCAAAGAACTCTAGGAAGGGGCCGAAGCGAGGTGAGACGAGCCTGGGAGAGACAGACACAGACATGGCGAAAGGGAAACAGAAACAGCAGAACCGGAGAGGGAAGAAACAGGGATGTGGGCTGCTCTATAATTCATGGCTTGATTAAAGATGCACAGGCCCCAGTCCTCAGCACTGGGTTCTGGCCTCTGCACAGGGGAAACTCAAGCGCTCCCATTCTTGCTCCAGTGGCCGATCCAGTTTCCGGGTCAGGGAGAGGCCGGGGGTGGGAGTGGGGGTGGGGATGGGGGGCTGGTGGGAGGGGACCCCCCCGCCCCGAGCCCTGCAGATGTCCATTTGTTGGTCCATCCTGGGATCTTTCTCGTTTTTTTTTTCCCCTCACTTCCTCATTTCTGCCATCCTTTATCTCCATCCCAATCCAGACAGCACACTCATATCTCAATCTGGACAGGCCCTCCTGGCTTTCAAAAGCAGGACAGGTTTCCTTATCTCCTTAGAGAGATACCCCAGGAACTCAGTGAGGTAGTATACATCAAGCATTGAGAATGGTGCTAGACAGGCAGCATTAGCTACATCACCACCATCGTCAGCCTCCTTTGACAGAGACATTACCAAATGAACACAAGATGTTCAGGCTAAGAAGCAGCTAGGACACAAATTAGAACTCAGCTCACTTGCCCTATTCGTGCATCCCTGAGGACTGTGTGTGTGTGTGTGTGTGTGTGTGTGGTAAGAGTAGGGACCTGTTTCCCGGTTCTCATTCTTAGGATGGGGCAGGAAGGACAGGCAAGGATAAGGAGGACATGGGGTTACTGAGTCTCCCTGGAGTTGGCCCTGACTGACATCTGATGTGGTAATCCTGGGATGGGGGTAGCTCAGATCTTCCTGTCTTGATATTCCTTCTTTCCAGTTTCTTGGCTAGGAATATGGTTGAGGATGGCCATCAGCCATGAGGGAGAAAGAATCTCACAGATCTTCAAGTCTCAGTCCCTCATGTCCCCAGAAAGAAAATTCTGGCCTAGAGAGGTCAAAAGATCTACCCAAGATCACCCAGGGAGTTGCCTGGGTTTCCTGGGCTCAGTCCTCCCCGGTGGAGAGGGGAGCCTCCATGGGCAGGCCCTCAGATATCTTGATTCTTTCCCCTGCTCCTCTGCCCAAGATGAAGGGACCTCTCCCTGCATTTGATGGTTCTCTCTTTCTTGAGGAAGTCTGCCAGGTGGCCTCACCCTAGCCCCTCTCTGAGTCACTGGGCAGTGGGGAGGACAGAGAGTGGGGACTCTGCTGAGAGGAGCTGGGGCGGGAGTGGGGGTGACAGGATGGAAATTTTGCATCACTGTGTTTGGCTGCAGGACTCACCTTGGGTGGGGGTGGGGGGGCTGAGGAAGAGAGAGATGAAAGCAGAGGAGTTCTGGGAGTGGGGACAGAATGGAGGAGACAAGGTCTGCTGAAGGGTGTGGGGATGCTGGGCTTACCTGGACGGGGGGCTACACCATCTCCATTTGGGGGGCTGCTGCCTGGGGGAGCTGGGTCTCCTGGTTCCCGGACGCTGGGCTCCCTGCCTCGGGTCTTGGCAGCCTCGATGCCTTTGACTCTTCGGGCATGGCGATTACCCTTGTAGTGTGCCTCAGCCTGGCTCTTTAGGGATGGAGGAAGAGAAGGGAATCTGAGATCACCTTTCATCTGAATGTTCTCCCCACGGATCTGTCAGATCCTGGGGTGGCCTCAGCGGGCTGCAGTAAAAGTTGTCCCCACACCAGGGATATGTAAAGCCCCACGCCGAGGAGCCCTGATTATTCCTGGGGCTCAGTCGTGGGGAACCTGGGCCCCCATCTAGCCTGGGCTCTATCCCACCACCTCACCCAGGGCCTGGCTGCTGACTCAGGCTTCCCACCTTGTCCAGGGCTGCTGAGAGAAAGGGAACTCAGTCTATGCGTGCTAAGTTGCTTCAGTCATGTCCGACTCTTTGTGACCCCATAGACTGTAGCCAGCCAGGGTCCTTTGTCCATGGGATTCTCCAGGCAAGAATACTGGAGTGGGTTGCCATGCCCTTTTCCAGGGGATCTTCCCGACCCAGGGAAGAGACATAACCTGAGTCTCTTATGTCTCCTGCATTGGCAGGTGGGTTCTTGACCACTAGCACCACCTGGGAAGTCCACTCGCACCAACAGGGGAAATGGCAGGGGCCGAGCAATCCAGCCAGCCTGCATCTCCTATGGCCCTGGGGTTTTCTGCGCCAGTGTCCCCTGGCCCCAGCATCCAGCCTTGCTGCTTCCATGCTCAAGCTGGGAGTCCCAGGAGCACTGAAGCCTGGGCTCTACCCTGAATACTCCCCCCGGGTCTCATTTTCCCTGAGGCCTCTGTGGACACCCTGGAGGACCCTGGCCCCCAGCCCAGCTCTGGAGACAGAGACAGCAGCAGAGACAGCTGTCAAAACAGAGCTGCTTGGTCGGGGGTGGGGGTGGGGGGGTGAGGGAGGGCAGAAACAGGGGAGGGCTGCCTACCACTGGGCCCTGGCCCCTCCAGTCTCACAGTGAGTGGAGCCAGGATTGGGAGAGGGGGTTCTTGGGGTCAAGGTCAAGGTGAAGTCTAAATCTGAGTTGGTCCTGGCTCCACCCCCACCCTGCATGCACCCTCTGCTAAGAATACACAATCCTGGAACCATAAGAACATCCAGACAGGGTAAAGTAGAAATAAAAGGTGTGGATAGGCAGGAAAAGATTGACAGTGCAGGGTGGGGCAGTGGTCTGGCAGCATGGTGTGTGTGTGTGTGTGTATGTATGTGTGTACTAGGGAGAGAAATAGAACATGCTTTCTCTTCCTCTACTCAGCAGAATGAGGCTGTGCTGTTTTTCTCCAAAAGCTCTCAGAGCCTGCACCCCACAGAGTCCCCTACAGACTCACAGAAAAGGGAGCCTCAGAGGGGGATAATCTGGGAGGCTAAATACCTTGGTTCTGACTCCTAGGTTTTGGGTGGCTTCTCCCATGAGACAGATAGGAGAACAGTAGGGGCCAGGCCTTGGGTGTGATTTGGAGAGACAGGGAAAGCAGGAGGTTAGAGGGAAGTGGGGGGGCTGGGAGGAGTTTAGCAGAGGCCAAGGAAGGCACTGGGCTTCCCTGGTGGCTCAGTGGTGAAGAACCTGCCTGCCAGTGCAGAAGCCTCAGGTTTGACCCCTGGGTTGGAAAGATCCCCTGGAGGAGGAAATGGCAACCCACTCCAGTATTCTTGCCTGGGAATTCCCATGGACAGAGGAGCCTAGTAGGCTTCAGTCCTTGGGATCGCAAAGAGTTGGACACGACTGAGCGACTAACCAACAACAAGGAGGGTACACAGACTCTGCAGGGGGGCCAGTGACACAAGTCAGCCCTGCACCCAAGACCAGCGGGCCAGAGGCCACACTCCCACCTGGACACAGATGGCCACCTGTGTTCTAAGAAGTTCTGAAGCAGGAATGCCTCAGTCCCCGAGGGAGGAGTTATAGGGCAAGGGAAGAATGTCTGGAAACATTATGAGTTGAATTGAGTCCCCCAAGAAAGATCTCTGGTCCCTCCGGAGGGCTTCCATCGGTCCTGCCCTTCCTGCAGTATCCTCTGAGACCCCCTTAATCCCCACCCCTCACCCAGAGCTCCCAGCTCCCACCCTCCCACAAGATGCCGCGCAGCCCCTATTCCACCTGCCCCACCCACTGGATGCATGAATGGCTGAGAATCTTACCTGAGAGTTGAAGCGAATCTGACAGACATTGCAGGAGATGATGGGCCGCTTGGTCTTGAGCAAGGGTCCCCCAAAAGTGTGGGAGAGTACAGCCTTCTGCACAGGGTCCATCTGTGGAGGCAGGCTGGGGTAAGCCAGGGACCCCAGCACAAGCTCATGTCCATCATAACCCCAGTGGCAGCAGCTGGGCTGAACCAAAGTGCCCAGAGCTTCCTCCCCACTCTTGAGTGGGCCAGAAGGCCCCGAGCCTCGGTTCCCTGATTCTCTCCCAGCCCAGTCTTCATAGCACTGGAAGGGCCCTGAGAGAGCCCCTGGCCCAATACTCCCATTTGACAGAAAGTAGAAGTGGCTTGCCCAAGGTCACAGCATGCGTTAGTAGCAGAGTTGGGACTTGAACCTGGACTCCTGCATCCATCTGTTATACCATGAAGATTGAATCCTGTTACATTGACCTTTTTCCTGAGCTAATCCACCAGAGGCCCACTTAGGAAGTCCCCAAAGCATCCCAGATCCTAAGGCCTTTGGCTAAAGCCTTTTCCAGCCTTTCAACCAAGCCAAGCCAAGGAGACAGATGTTCCCAGCTTCCCATCTCTGGGCCCCAGGTTGCCCTGACATGCTCACTCCCTGGACCTCTTAAGAGTAGCAGTTTCCAGAGGGAGTAAAAGAACTCAGGCGAGAGTAGGTGGCTCCAGTGAATAACGGGGAATAACGGGGAGCTTAGAAGCCTGGCTGGCCTGAGGAAGCCCAGGCATCTTCTGAACTCCCTCTCTCTGGTCACAGGGCTTCTAGGGCAGGGCTGTGGGGCTGGGCGGGATTAGGAACAGCCTCTGCTCCCACCCTGGATCAGCAGATGTCTTTGCTGTGTCCTGCCAAGAGTTCACATGAGGAGGGAAGAGGATGGGAGTTTCTCTCTGAGGCGTTCTGCTATCAGGGGATGAAGCCAGGGGCCCAGAGGCATGAAAACTGCCTCCCTGCTCTTCCTCCTCCCTTCTGGCCCCTCAGTGGCCGGGGAGAGGCGAGCCTGGAATGCAGCTGAGGTTGTGCAGGACTGGGTGCTCTCTTATAAGCTTAGAACCAAATGAGAGCTGAAACCTTATCTCCTAGGATTAAGTGGAAAAAAACGTTGCTGGAGACTGGGGGGGTGGTCCATAGCTCCTTAGGCGAGGCCCTCCCTATGCCCAGGTCTTCATGATTCCCAAGGAGGCAGCGGTGAGAGACAGGAGCACGGAGCAGGGTCAAGAAGGCGGTCTGGAAAGCACACACATCCTGGCTCCTCTCTGCTCCCCTCAGTTGTCTCACTGGCAGCTTGGGGTTAATGTCAAGAAAGGGGCTTCAGCATCCCTGTGAAACAGGCCACCCCACTCGGCAGTAGCAGAGGCAGGAGCCAGGTTCAGATAACCAGGCTGACAGACAAATGTCCATTGCCTGGCCTGCCCATGGCTGGAAGCAGCCCCTCTCAGTGACTCTTCACCTCCTGGAAGCCTGGGTCCTTTTTGGGGGAAGGCCAAACAGGGGAAGACTGGGTGTGTCTGTGTGTGTCTAGGCAGGCTATGATCAATCTGTGCAGGGGTGGAGTGTGAAGGCGTGTCACATGCTGTGTGTACATCATTTATGGATCAACATTTCTGTGTCGGGGGCTCTGCTGAAGCCATGAATGGTCAGGTTGTGCAATCTTCAGCTGTGTGTTTATCGGTGTGAATGTACGATGTGTTTGGCAGAAAGATAGACAGACCAAGTTGGAGACAGGCTTTAATCACAAAGAGGAGACACATGACTGCACTCGACTCTCAGCCTCTAGCCGACAGTCCTCTCTAATCAGGGACCCCCAACCCTGTCCCAGGGATCCCCTCAGCTCCTGGACATCCTCACATGCTGGGTGGGGAATGGAATTCAGCCCAAACAGAAACCCAATCTGGGCCAGGAAACGTAAGTCAAAGAAAACTGTAGGGAGAGAGAAGCGGGAAGGAGAGGGGGACAGAGAGGCCCCGGGTTCTGTCTGTGCCCCACCCAGCACCTCAGCCTGCTCCCCAGGGTGGCTCAGGACCAGTGCCCTGAGGATGACCTGGGAGTTGACCGTCCCAACATCCATCCCAGCCAATAGTCCCTCCCCCACTTGGGTCCTCCCTGCAGGACGAGAGCCTTTTCCTTCTCACACCCCACTCCTCAGGTTTAAGTCTGTGAACACCAGCTAGGGGTGGGGGTAAGCAGAGAAGAGGGCAGCAACCCAGCCAGGTGGGTCCTTCCCACCCTGTCCTCCGGGAAGTGAGGAGACACCGGGCTGAAGGTGAAGGCTCCTGGGCCCAATCCCTGCGCAGGTGGAATGTGAACCACCGAAGTGCTGCTCCAGGCCAAGGTCAAGAGGCCCTGGTGACCTAGATGAGGGCTCTCTGGGGAGGGTGGGGGCCAGCGTCTCTGAGAGCCCATCCCACTCCAGAGCCCCTTCCCTAGGATTCTGGCCTAGACGCTGTCTGGAAAAGTCCACACAACAGTCCCCTCCCACCTGCCCTCCAACAGCAGACATGAAAGGGAATCGCTCCACTAAGCTGGGGCAAAATGAATCAGGAAGGGCAAGGGGGAGGGAAGGGGGAAACCAGATCAGGAACACGAGGGGGGGCTCTGATTATATTTCCTTCCATTGCCCTTTATCTGATGGCACCGCTGCCCATGTTTGACCACCCCACTTCCCCATACCCCCCAGATAAAGGCAAAAAGGGGAAGGGGGTGGAATTTCGGGGATGGGGAGACCTGAGGGGCAGGAAGGATGAAATAGGAGAGAGAGGGGGCTAGAGGATGTCCAGAGAGCAGGTGGAAGCTGGTGGGGGAGGGATGCTAGGAAGAGGACTAAGGCTGAGATGGGGTCAAGGCTGCATTAGGGATCTGAGCAGCGGCCTGGCAATCGGAGGGTAGGTGTAGGACCTGATGAGAAGTCTTAAGATTTGGGGGACCTCGAGGATCTGAGAAACAGAGGCCGGGGTATTCAGTATGGTGGCAGCAGGCTGGGGGGCGCCAGATGGGATCCGGAGATTGGTTAGGGCCGCGCCGGTCGTGGGGGATGGGCCGGATAACCCGAGGACCAGGCGAAGGGAGAGGTAGAGAGTCGGGCACGGGCGGGCGGGGATTGGGATGGGGGGGCGCTGCGGCAGCGGCGGGAGCCAGGGAGGGAGGAGGGGCCGGGTGGCTTACCCTGCGGGACCCCGGGGGACGCGGCTCCATGGCCCGGGTTGATGGACCCGGGCGGGGAGGCCGAGCCAGGCCGGGCCGGGCAGGCCGGGGACGCGGCGCTCGTTGCCCGGGTGGCTCGGGGCTGTGCGGCCGGGCCGGCCGGGAGAAGGGGAGGCGGCGCCGGCCCGGCCCGGAGCCCGCCCCAGAGGCGGGGCCGTGGGAGGGCCAAGCACGGGGGCGGGGATAGGGAGCTCGGGAGGGATAAAGGGTCGCCTAGAGCGAAAAGAGGACGGGGTGTCCATGTCCAGACACTCGTTCCAGGAAGACCTGGTCCTGGTGAGCGGCATGGGCCAGACGCCCCATTGGGCTTCCTCCACTGGGGACCTTGCTGGGGCTTATATCCCTACGAATCCCATGGCCGACCCTGTTTCTCTAGCTTGGACCTTTCTCCTTTCTGTCACCCCTTCCACCCTCACTCTTCTAACAGCTTCTCTTTCCAGTCCCCAGATGACCCTTCTGCTCCCTCTGCACACGGCCCCCGTGCCCCTTTTACATGTCACTTCCCCTGCTAGGGATGGGAGACGGGGCCCAGGTACCCAGGTGCCAGGCACTGCTCTCCTAGTGACTCCTCTGGATGGTGGAGCTGGGGTCGCCCAGGGCTGAAGCGACCTCAGGCTGGGGACATTATCCCTAACCTCTTCCCACCTGCTCCCCTCGCCCGCCACCTGCTGGAGAACAGCGTCCCGAAGAGCTTATGCTTCGTGCACTTGCTGCCCTCTGGCGGTCGAGTGGGGACAGCACTGGGGGACAAGGGCCAGGAGGGCAGAGCAGCCCACTCCCCCAAACACTTCCTTATCCTTTTCTGGATAAGTCCTAGGAGATTCCGGCTCTCTCATCTCTGGATCTCATCCCCTCCGTTCCACCTAGGGCTGAGAGATGAGCGAAGCAGGGCCCAGGATGCGGAGAGAGAGAGGCTGTCTCTGAGAGACAGTGAGGGATATTCAAGGGCAGAGGGATGAGTAATGCAGGGAGGGGTCTAAAGAGTAAGAACTACCGGAGTAGGAGAGATCTGGAAGTATTACAGCAGAGAAGGAGAGGCTCTGCCATGAATAATAATATCACCACCACCATCTAATGTTGATTGAGCCCTTGGAATGTGCCAGCCTGTGGACTGAGCTCTTTGCATGGATTATCTAATTTAATCTTCACAACCACTATTGGAAGTAAGTACTATTATTATCTTCATTTTATAGATGAGGGAACTGAGGTTTAGGCAGGCTAAATAATTTGCCCAAGGTCATAAGCTAGTAAGTGGCTGAACTGGGATTTGAATTTAAACCTGGGCAGCCTGACTCCAAAGCCCTGTACTTAACTGCTGCACACCACTGCCAAGGCCTGTCTGCAGCTTTTCTGCAGTCCTTGTTCCCCTGCAGAATTTGACACTATTGATGCAGCCCGCCACATTCTCTCGCTTGGCTTCCAACTCTACAAAAACCCAATTCTGTCCCCACCCCCTCCTGTGGCTCCTCCATTTCCTTTGCTGGAGCCTCCTCCTGTTACCACTGCCTAGCTCTGCGTATTCCCCAAGGCTTGGGCCTTGGCCAAACTACCTTTCTCTCTCTGATCATCTATAAAATAAAAACAATAGAAATAACATAATAATCATAGCAGCTTACCTTGAAAACTTACTTCATGCTAGGCATTATGATTATGTAATACAATTCTCACAATAACTTGTGAGTTGGTACTATTGCTCTTATTGTACAGCTGATAAAATTGAGATTCAGAGTGGTTAAGTAAATTTGCCTAAGTCACACAGCCAGTACTTTCAGAACATCAATTCGAAGTCTGTCAGTCTGATGCCAAAGTTGGTGCTGCTCAAAACCTGGTCACACTCTCTCCAAGCTTATCCATGCTCCTGGCTTTAAATGGCTCATTCCCACCAGAGGCCATGAAACCATGAATCCAGGGAGTCAGAAACCTGAGATTATCCAAGTGAATAGACTAAATAGCTTTGTGACCTTGGGCAAATCACTTAACCTCTCTGAGTCTCTGTTTCCTCATTTATAAAATGGGGACAAAGGGGACTTCCCTGGCTGTCCAGTGGTGAAGACTCTAAGCTCCCAATGCAGGGGACATGGGTTTGACCCTTGGTTGGGGAACTAAGATCCTGCATATTGCATGATGTGTGGCAAAAAATAAATGGGGACAATGATGGGAGACATGAGGTTAAGTGTCAGTCAGGTATGCAGATTGGGGAGAAAGTATTTTCAGCACCTTCTGCTCCAATCACACCCAGTCAATTGCAGTTTCTCAAATGCTCTTTTCTAGTCCTTGTTTCAGTCTGGAATATTCTCTGAGGCCCCTTTTAAAATCCTACTAATAATTCTTTTTTTTTTTTAAATCCTACTAATAACTCTTCAAAGCCCAAATCATAACGTCATCTGCTCCAGCTTCAATCCCTTTTTCCTCCACTGTTTTTTTTCCCCTGCTCAGCTCCAGTTGGTCCCTCACCACATCCAATGAGTCTTTTCTGATACTGCTTTGGGCTGCCCTACAAGCTGCATGCCTCCAGCACAGCTCTTCTCACACTATAGGGTAAACGCTAACTTGTTATCTTTCCTACCATACTGTGAGCTCTCCAAGCAGACTGAGTCCTGTGTCCCTGACACCTGGTGCAGTGCCTGGCACATAGTAGGTGCTCAAAAAATTTTTCATTCAATTGAATTTTTGTGTCTGTCTCTTTTGCCATATTTCTAACCCTTCCTCTGTTTTGCATTGTAGATCATTTCATGCACATCTATACTTCTCCGAATATAAGCGTCTTTAGGACTGGAGCATGTTATATTTACCCTCACATCTCCATCATATCTAGCACAGCACCCTGCTTATAGTCAGTATTCAGTTTTCTTGTCTGTAAAACATGGATAAAATGGCAGCTACCCCATAGGGTTGCTATAAAGATTGAGATATGAAAAATGCTTTGTAAACAAAGTGCAATGCAAATGTTGATTGGATTCTCTGAGAAGAGTTTGGAGGGAACAGCAGGTATAAAGAGAACTCTTTTGTAGTTAGATGCTCTGGGTTCAAATCATACCTTAGGCACATACTGTGTCAACTTAGATACATTCCTTCAGGGCCTTAGTTTCTGTCTTCCTATATGTCAAACTGGAATAATAGTGTCTACTTTGTTGGGTAGTGATGAAGATTAAATGAGATCACATATAAAGAAACATCTACTGGTTAGGACTCACTTTTTCACTGCTGAGGGCCCAGGTTCAATTCCTGGTTAGGGAACTAAGATCCCATAAGTCACCCAGTGTGACCAAAACAATGATAGAACCATTTACTGCAGTGCCTGATGCATAGTTGATGCTCAATATGCTCATAACTGGATATGGTTTGATGGTGGGTTACTTGAGTTGAATAAAGCTGAACCTTCCCCAAACCTTTAGCTCCAGCCCACTCTCCAGGCCCCACGTTCCAACTGTCTGCTGGACATTTTTGGCTCAGTGTCCCACTGGCCCACAACTCACCATGTCTTCAAGTGAGTTTAGCAGCCTCACCTCAGGCCAGCCTCCTCCTCTGACCCCCTGCCCCTGGCAAGGTAACTTCTTTCTCTCGGTCACCGAGGCCTGAAACCGGGAGTCATCCTTGACTCATCCTCTCCCTTTCCCCTGGTTCCCAAACCCTGGTTGGTCACCGTGGCCTGTCAGCATTTCCTTGGAAACACCTCACCCCTCCCCCTTCCTCTGCTCACTCTGCTGCTGTCATGGGCCCAGTCTGGCTCTCCAGGCTCCCCTGCAGGCTCTGGATAGCACCTTGTTTATAGTCAGTACTGTTTTCTTATCTGTAAAACAAGGGTAAAGTGGCAGCTACCCCATAGGGTTGCTATAAAGACTGAAATATGCAAAATGCTTTGTAAGCCTCAAAGTGCAATGCAAATGTTGGTATTGCAGGGCAATACCTCCTGACTGGCCACTGTCCTCCAGCCTTTGCTCTCTTCCCTCCTGCCCCACTCACCTGCCTCAAACACTGCTTCTCCAGCTCACTCTCCTGCTCAAGAATGGATAATGTCTCCCTATTTCATATTGTATTAAATCTAGACAACTTAGCTGGCCCTTCAAGCCCTACTGCATGAACCTCCCCCCCACCCCAACAGGGGGCTCCAGAGAGATGGAGCTTACAAACAGGCTGCCTGTGCCCTTGTGGAGTCTCTCTTTCCATCTCCTTGTCATCACTGCCCCCAGTCTAGGTCTCATGACTTCTCTTGATGGTGGACTGAATGAGATGATTCACATAAAACACCCAGCACAGTGTCTGGCCCGTAGCCGAACTTCAGCGATTATCAGCTATTATGGATATTGTTGTCAATGGTATACCAGAAAGTCTACGATGCTTGTAACTGACTAGAAGTGAGGGATGGGGCCCTGAGATAAGGAATTAAACGGAATAGGAGAAGAAGGCAGGGATGGATCCTAGGGAGAGAAGGAGCCAGGTGGTGGGAGGGTGGCGAAGGCAGGCAGGCAGGTTGCTACTCACAGCGCTGTAGTTGCTGAAGAGGCCCAGGGTGGGTGCCGGCTCCAGTGGGAAGGGCAGGATCTGCTTGAGGTCCAGTGGGGGCTGCATGATTGGGGGCTGCCGTAGCAGAGGGAGGGGCCCTGCCCGGCTCAAGCTGCCTAAAGGGCAGAGAAAACATTATGTCGGGCAGGAAGATTGACTCTTGGGAGCCCCACCCAAGCCTGGCAGTCCCAATCCCCAGATGGGGCCCCCAAACTCAGAAATGCTACTGACCCCCATCACACACACTTCCCCCTGCTGACTGGCTCCGGAGCAATGGAGCAAGGTGCCCTGTGGGCCTGGGGGAGGGTGCAGATCTGTCGTTCTTCCCTTCTGGGTGATTTTCACTTCCCCTTTCTCCAGCCTCCCTCCACCAAGACCTTCAGGCATTTTACAAACCCAGGAAGATCACAGGCCTTATCTGCAGGCCCCAGACAGACCAGCAGGACTGGGAGTCCCAGACCCCTGGCTACTCTCTTCTTCCGGGTTTGCTGTCCCCCAGGGAATCCCAAAAGCTTACCCCAGGGAGAACAGTCAGGTGAGTGATTCATCCCACTGCTTAGAGGGGAATATTGAGACCTGGATTTGAAGGAGGGCTGCTGAATCTTTCAGGCTCCCCAAAGAGTTATGATTTTGTCCCAATTGTAATTCTTAATGAACTGTCGACGTCCGGGGTCAGCGAGTGGCATTTGCTCTGGGAGGCGGGCTGCCTGGGACCATTCTCAGAGCCCTTTCTCCCAACTGGTCTGCCTTCCCCAGGCACCTCTGTTGGTCGCTGCCGGAATGTTCGCTCCGGCTCTGCAGGAGGAACTGTGACCGGCCTCTGGGAGGGGAATGCCTGGGTCTGACCCCAAGGGGAAATGAAAGTCCAGGCCAGCCAAGCCACTACCCTCCCTGAAACCTTCTCCTCCCCCAGAGCCATGGGAGGGGCCCTGCCAGGCTCCACGGGGTGGTCCCCAAGGCCCTAAGGACCCCTCTGGGCTTCCGCTGGCCCAGCTCCCTTCTGCAATCTCACTGTCCACCGGTCAGGGAACTCTGGCTGCCCTTCATGGCTCCAGCAACCCCCTGCCAGCACCAGGGGTTCCCAGGAACAAAGGCAAACCCAGGAGGCTGCAAGCTTAGCCCCGTCCTCCCTTGACCTCACTGGGGCAGAGGGTCCCCCCCCACCCGGATCCTTTCCTGCTCCCTCCAGAGACGGCCCCCTTTCATACCTTCAGTGTCTGGTGCCCTCTGCCCCCAGGCAGTGGCCTGGCCCTGGCCCCCCAGGGGCCTGGGCCTGACAGCGTCCCCTTCCCTTGGTTCTGCCCCCTGCCCCCTCCCTTGCCAGCCCCCCCCACCAGGTCCAGTCAGTAGAACCAGCCAATCAGAGTCCTGGAAAAGTGGGGCAGAGGGGAGGGCGGGGGAGCAGGGATTAGGGGAATCAGAGGCAAGAGGGAGGGGGTGGGGAGGGCTCAGGCACAGCTGGGGGCAGGGAGCTGGTCCAGGAAGGTTGGAGGGGTCTGCCTTTTTCACCCACTGCTATGACTGCGTGGCCAAGGGCCCTGAGGCTAAGAGGGGTTAAGGCTGCTGGGAGCTTGGGCGGCAGACATCTAAGGGCTGAAGGAGAAGGGTGGGATGCTTAGCCTTGGCCCTAGGGCAGCTGGGGGTCTGTAAGTCATGTCCATTCCCTCTTCACCTTGGGGTTGAGATGGGGTCGGGGGTAGGAGAGAGACAGACAGACAGGCAGATAAAAGTGAGGGAGAGAGAACAGGAAAGACTAACAGAAGCAGGAATAGGTGACTGAGGAAAGGGACATAGAGGCTGAGAGAGAAGAAGTTAGGGGACAATGGAGAGGTGAAGAGAGTAAAATGAGGGAGAAACAGAGACACCGCAAAGAAACTGGACACAGCGCTAGGGACAAGGGCAGAAAGACCAGAAAACAGAGAACGAGAGAGGAGAAAGAGGGATGGGCAGACTGATGGGGTAGGGCGACCATCTCCCCTTCCTCTCTGTTCCCCCCCTGGCTTCTCCCTTCTGTGCCCACCCCCTCCTGCCTGGCACACAAGGCCAGGGCAGCCTTAACGAGCCCCGGGCGGCATCAGGAATGGTGAGAGAAACCCGAGCGCTCCCAGAGTCCCCGGCACCCAGCACCCACCCCGAGCAGCTGGTTCGGGGCTGGCACTTGCCCTGGCCCCAGAGAGGGCAGCAGCTCAACTCCCTGACCCTTTCCCTGGCTCAGGATTCTCCAGGTCCCCGCCCCTCAAACACCCATCTCGGAGGAGAGAGGTGAGTTCCGCAAAAGGCAACAGGAAAACAAATATATCCAGGCATTCTGAGTATCAGCACATTTCATCTCTGAGGGAACCATTCTATGCGGTAGCTAATACTAGGTTTTAACCATTTGACATATGAAGAAACTAAGGCTCGGAAGAGTTACAAAGACTTGGTTGATATTACACAACCTGTAAGTATCAGGGTTGAGATTTCAATGAAGATCTGTCACCCTCTGTAGCAAATGCTTCCTCTGCTACATAACCCCGAAGGGCTCCAATCTAACTCTGAATTCAGCAAAGATATGAGCAAGGCTTCCATCTTGTCCAAGGAGAGGAAACGGAGAACAAGTTCCACGTACTTCCTGGGGCTGGAGGAAAAGAGGTAGCCACCACTTGGTTTCCTCTGACCAGCAACTCATCTTTTCCACTGATGTGAGCCCAAGGGTGGGGGGAGGGAAGGGGAAGTGGGAGGAAGGAACTAAGGATGGAGTGAAGTAAGGAAACAAAGAGGGCAGCTAGAGATTCGTGTGTCTCTTTCCCAGATTCCCACTCCATTGAGATCTGGGGTGGAAGGGGGCAGACAGCAGCTTATGGACCCAGTGAGCAGAAACAGGGCCCTCAGTCTGGTAGCCCAAGCCTCAGTCCTTTCCTCTCCTTCTTGGGAATAATAACAGTTGCCACTTTCTGAGGGTCCACTGTGTGCCAGGCACTGTACATACACGCCTCCCTGTGGATGGTTCCACTTCTTACTAGCTGGGTGACGAGCTTGTTGCCTGATCTCACTTCTCCTTTATTAGGAGAGAGCAATGGTATCTTGCATTGTGGAGTTGTTGAAAAGATAGAACAAATCCACGTACAGTGCTGGCCTGCCACAAAGAAAGCTCAATACGTATTTGCTAAATAAACAAATCCTCATCTTTTAGATGACGGCCATCAGATCAGAGAGGGGGAGTTACTTGATCAAGGTCACACAGCTAGTGAGGCATTTGAATCTAGATGGCTGGCTCCAGACAGGGCTTTCAGGCACCATACTTTACTAGAGGTAGAAGAGGGAAAGGCAGGAACATAAAGAGGGCTTCGCGGGAGGAAATGAAGCAGGAAATCTGGGGCTCCTGATGGCTGGTTAGGTGAGGGCTTCAGGGGGGTTTGGAGGAGGAGGAGGTGGAGTGCAAACTGGAGTGTGTGTGTGTGTGCTAGTGCACAGGCCTGTGGGCGTGCACGCCATGGCAGGCAGGGCAGGGAGGAGCTGGGGCCTGGCTGGGACAGGCCACTCCAGAGGGAAACTCATTAGAGTAATTACCTCCAGCAGATAGAGCCCCACCCAGCTCTGCTGGGAGAAGCCGAAAGCTTTATTAAAGCCTGTTCCCAACCACTTTAGGGGGTGAGGTCTCAGTCCCTTGGATGCATGTCCATCTGTCCATTTCTGCACCCTACCTGGGCCCTAGGCACTTTGATCTTGTTCAGGTTTCCCCTCCAGCACCAAGCCACAACCAAGCCAGATCTGACTCCTTCCATCCCACTTAGGGCTGGTCTTTTCCTTCCTCTCTTCCCCAGAAACTCTGACCAGGTGGGAGTCCCAGCCCTGGACTCTCTTAAGTGGGCCTGGGACCTGAAGCTCTTGTGCCAAAGAATGGGAGTGTCTGCCGTGAGCTGGCTCTGGGAGTGGCAGCGTCTGGTAGGAACAGGATCCAGGAAGGGTGCTAGGGTAGGGCTTCGGGTTAGTGTTGGTCTGGAGATCAGACTGGGATGAGATTCAAATCAGAGAGAGGATTTGGGGTTAGGGTGGCAAATGTGTTAGGGTCCATGGTCGTGAAAAACAAGGGGTCAACACTGTGTTAAAGTGGGAATTATGCTCAGGGGTCAAAGGAGAAATGAGATTGGCATCTGGTCTTGAATCTCTCTAATCCATTTTTTTCTCTTCAGGCCTTTTGGTCTCTTCTAAACCCCAGACATTTTTAAAACTGGGGGGTTGTGGGGGAGAGCCTGAAACCCCTGGATCTTGCTTTCTTGACCAGCTCTCAGGTATCTGTCTCCTTCTGCTTCAGTTTTCCCCGTCTTGGCAGGAGGCAGGCTGAGTGCTGGGAAGGCTTTGAAGTCAGAGATGAAAGCAACAAGGGGATGATTATGAACAACTACTCAAAACATCATCCCTAATAACCCTGGGGTGGATTGGGCGGGGGCAGGGCCTAAAAGGGAGGAGGTGGCCAGGAAAGGAAGAAGGAAGACCCCTGCAAAAATTTCCCCAGCCTGACTGGAAAGGCCTCCTTCAATGCCCCCAACCCCCACAACACCACACTAAGGGCCCAGTTGCAGAGGAGCGTAAGAAAAGCTCAGAATAGGGAACCTGAGCCCAGAATCACCACCTTAAACCTGGGCCCACAGTCTAGTTCTTGAGTAAGCAGGCTGGGCCTCGCCTGGAGGACACCCACACACAGCTTCAGTGGACCTCAGCATTTAGAACATGAAAACCTTAGAATGGGCCTCAGGCCCAGCTGGCAGCTTCCTCCCTCTTTCTTTCCTTGTCTAAGAGAGCTAAGGTGTGTGGCCCACCAGGCTTCCCACTGCTCTATGGGCTTGGCACAAGGAGGGAGTTAATTACAGTGTCTGTCCTCAGGGAGATGTGGTGGGGGTCCAATTGGTGGCCCCTGGCATTCCTCCTGTGGTGGGGTCTTGGTCTGGTACTAGCAGAAGTCCTCTCCAGGGCCTACTGACCAGGAGAAGCACAGCTCCAACTGGCCTATCCCAGACAAGTGTGATGCTGCCTCTGGGGTTCATGCCCAGGGTGGGGCCAGGGTGTGGGGGATTGCACAGGTTGGAGGAATGTGGAGCCTGTGCTCTGGGGACCTGAGACCAAGTGTGTTGGTGGGGGTCACACAAGGGTAGGGATTGTCTAGATGGGAGGGGAGTCTCTTCCCTGCTAGAGATCCTCTTGGGAAGGAAGGCAAGCAACCAGTCATTCGTGCCTCCATTGGCTCATTCATTTAATGGATTTGATGGAGTGCCAGGTGGAGGGAGGCAGATGTGGACTGGTGAGAGTGAGGAGATAGAGGAAGGGGAGAGAAAGAGATGGAAGAAGGTGGGCAGAAGGGGAGAGAGACCCCTAGTGGGAGTCAATAGGGGTCAAGCCAAAGAAGAAAAGCACAAGGGCCAAGGAGGCACCAGCAGAGGGCTGAGGCGGGAGTCAGGCAAGCCCTGGAGCGCCAGCATGGAGCCAGGTGTCCGGTGGGGGCAGGGAGCCCACAGGTGCCTGAGCTGGTGGGCAGTCTCCCGTCACAAACAGGGCCCAGGAACGGCCTGTCCAGGGCAGAGACCAGAGGTCAGAGGACAGAGCACAGCAGTCCACCGATAGACTATTGTGGAGGCCAGGGCCTGGGGCCGGATCTTCAGAGTCCTCTCCTCCCCCACTCGGGGCTCCCTTCCCATGTAGGTCATGAGGCTGGGGTGGCTGTGGCTGAAGGGATGGCGGAGCCCCGCGGGAGTCTCCCTCCCCCATCCTGATGCTCTCCGTTGCCCCTTCCTCGGCTGGTGCCCCTCGCCCAAGGCAGGGGTGGGGGTGGGGTGGGGGAGGAAGGAGGAAGAAAGAAGCCGGGAAGGAAGGGCCCGGGCCGCCAGAGCTGGGAGAGAGAGGGGCAGGTCCCGGCGTGTTGGGGCAGGATCCTGCAGAGGCAGGATCCGAGCCGCAGGGGCCCTGGGATGGAGAGTTTCCACCCCTGCTTCTCCGCAGACCCCTTATCTTCAGCCCTCAGGTTCCCACCTCCCACCACACACACCTCGAAGCTACACCCACCATCTTCTCCCCCCGCCCGCCCCCCCACTTCCTCCTTTCCCTCTTATCCTGGGCCCAGAAGGGGGTCGGAGTGTTTGAGCTAAGGGTGGGGGAAGGCGCTGGGGGTGGGGGTGGGGGGGCGGGTCAGAACCTTTCGCTCAACTCCACCAGGCCAAGGCCAGCCCCCTCCCCCAGCCGCTCGTAGACAGTCATATAATATTCATGAGGCTCATGAATACGCAATGTGCTCATTGTGGGGCTGGGGTCTCACTCGGCTCTGCCTCCCCCTTTACCACTCCCAGGATTACCGGGAGAAGAAGCGGTAGTTTGGGGAAGGAGGGGGCCCCAGATGTGGAGCCAGATGAAGGGGGAGGGGGGAACCGGTCGCTGACGGGCGGCCGCAGTCACCGCGGTGCGGGAGGTTGGGGGGCGACCTACTGAGAGGGACCCAGGAGCCTGGAGCCGCAGAGCCCACTCACCGAGGATCATGCTGGGGACCCAGGCGCCCGGGGGTTCCGCGTCGCTCTGTCCCGGGGGCCGTTCTGGCCGGGCTGGGGGTACGGGGGGTGGAGTCGGGGGAGGAGCAGAGGCCGGCCGAGGCGGAGCGGGGGCGGAGCCCGCAGCAGGTGAAGACGGGAGGAGGGGGGACCCGGGCGCCCAGGGCTCCAGGAAGGGGCGTCCCGGCCGCTCCTCGCCCTCTCTCGCTTTCTCTTCTACTTGCCGCCCCTAAGTCTCCTGGATTTACGGTGACGCTGCAGCCAGGGCTGGGGGAACAGGACATCTAGAGGACGGCGTGTGCTGACACAGGAAGCTGGAACTAAGATGCCTGGGATCCCGGGAAGGGCTGAGTCTGAGGGCGGGAAGTCTAGCCATGGGTTGATATGGGGTGGGGGTGGGGTGCCTAAATACTGTGGGGAGGGGTGGGGCCAGGGTGGGTGGGACACCTGAGTCCTCTCCAGAGTGATGGACTGGGCAGAAGCGGAGGGTGGGGGCAGAGATGTTTGGGTCCTCGTTTGTTCCTCTGGCTCTGCAGCAGGATGCCTGAGGGCTGGGTCTGAGAGGTGAAATGTGGGGTTGAAGATGGATCCCAGGTTGATCTCTGGCTGGGATCTGAATGCCTAGATCTTAGTGAAGGTCTGAGGGAAGAGACTGCAATCAGTGGACCCAAGGAGGTGGAAATAGATGCTTGCAACTGAAATCATTAGGGCAACCAGAGGTGACAGGAGATCCAGAACTGAGGCTCAACCTTGTAGATATGGCCTGGATTGGTATGGAGATGGGAGCGTCTATCCAGGGCATTCACCACTAAGGTGAGCTTGGGCTAAAGAGGCCTGGTGGGGGGGGTCTTTGATAAGGTGGAGAAGAGGATGGAGGATAGAACAGACTGTATGTGCTGGGGAGAACGTGGGGGTGGCAGGGCAGAGTACAGGACACTGGATGTTTTCTAAACACCAACAGCATGTATTCTAAGGCAGGCAACTGGAACCGCAGCATGAGGCTGGAGTCTGGGAGTCTGCGAGGTGTCTGGAGAAGATGCAGCTGCTGCAGCCTGGACCTGTCTGTACCTGCCCCAGGAGGGAGGGCAGGAGGATCTCCCAGAATGCCAAGCAGCCAGCTTCAGGCCAGCCCCAGCCAGAGGGAAAGTAGGTGTGACTAGGAACTAGAACACTTGGGATTTAGGGAGAGTGGAGGCGGGGAGGAGGAGGTCGGGAGGAGGGTGGGGGGGGACTGGAGTCTTGGAATAGTCTAGAAAAGAGGAAGGGGACTGGAGTGTGGCATTCCTGGGTTCTGCAGGAAATTTAGGACTATATGGCTAATTAAGGTACAGGAAGTTTAAGTTCCTGTTTCTGGGCCTCAGCAGTTTCTTCTCCTCACCCCACTGATCTGGTTTGAAAAAAATATGTTTCTGTACCTGCCAAGATGCTCCAGCTCAAGGGCAAATTCTGAGGGTCCTAATGCCTTGGTCTTGTTCTGATCCAGAGGCCCAGAGATCTAGGGGGATTGTGGCTTTGTGCCTAAATCTGACCTTGGGGGAGAAGGTAGGGTCTCCTAGCCCATCAGTTTATCCTTGTGGTCCAGATCCGACCAACCACCATGCTGTTCCAGCCTCATATCACCAAGCTTGCTCTTCCCAGTTCTTGTTATCCACACCCCCACACACATATACTTCTCCCTGCCTCTTGCTATTCTTTCTCCTCCTGGGCGGCCTCCAGAGAACAAACCAGAGTCAGCATCAGACATAGTTAATTAGTGATAAAGACCCGTTTGCCCTCAGCTTTGTCCACCCTCCCACTCTGTAACCCCCAGGACCCTGAGTTAGAGGGGTCTCAGAAGAGGGGATGCTTAGCTCACCAAGGGGCGGCAGCTGGCTGGAGGGCGGGGTGACCTTGCAGGCAGCTGGAGGGGGGCAGTGTGAGGGGTGAATTCATTATTGATGAGCCCTGCACCCCGGGCTACTAATGAGCCCAGGCCGCCTGCTCTAATTGATGTCAAGAAACTTGAGACCCCCAGATCAGCTTCCCGCCTGCCAGCTGCCTCTCCTAAGCCCCCTCCCCCTTCCGTGCCCCCAGCTGCTCTGTTCCCTTCCCAGGCCTCCTTTCCACCTCCACTGACACAGACAGGGCTAGGACTCAGGCCTTTCCCCTACTCTCTTGTCTCTCTGCATCACTCAAGTCTCAAGGTGAGAGGCAGACATGCTTTGGAGGGGCTGGGAGATTTGGAAGGGGAAACATACCAGAGCCTGAGAATTACAGTTCAGCGACAGAGAGACTGGGGCTGGGTTACATCTGCAGCACTTCTGAGCCCAAGGGATTCCTACCTTGCATTGTGCCTACTTGAGAGAGACCTTGTCACTCTCAGAGACTCAGAGGTACAGGCACTAATTATACAGACACACCCATGATACCAGCCCAATACAGCCCACTTCCCCTCCTCATTTCCTCCTCATCATAGTGTAAGAAATCTCAGATTTGGCCCCTGGAGTATGGCTATTGCCATTCCCACCCATCCCCCAAGAAGGCGAGTATGGGATTTCATTCTTGGAGAAATCTCAGTGCCTTGCTATGCCACAGCTGTCATCCTTGGAAATACGGGGTAGCTCTTTGCCTCATCAGGTCTTGCCCTCCCTATAGTCCTTCATTTATGGGTTCTGGGAAGAAGTTTCTGAGTTACAGAATTATTAAGAAGTTGACGATTGGAGTGTAGAGCAGGTTTGAATTCTCAGGAGAGATATTTTGAGATCATGCTGGAACTGCAAGGCAGGAGCCTAAGCTAATAAGAATTGTCTTGTTGATGGGGGAAGAGGGTGAGGAGGATCTCATACATAGCCTCCCTTCCCCAAAATCCCGTAAATTTGTGACTGTGCTGCCCTCTGGTGGCTGACCTCAGTCTAGCAGGACAGACACCTCTGCCTCTAACAGTCCTGTTTGAATTTCAGCACCCCTCCCCATGCTCCGGCTGGACGCTAGCTTAGGATAGGCCTCGAGGAGACAGAGGATGCTGAGGGGCTCCCTCACTTTAATTTATCTTCAAAGACCTGAACCGTCTGGCATGTTGGTTAAGAATGTGGGCTTTCACAGTCAGGCAAGGCTGAATTAGACTGTGACCTTCGGCAAGTTACATAACTTCTCTGGACCTCAGTTTCCCCTTGTGTAAGTGGGGTTAATTGTGCCTGCCTCGCACACTTAATTTGATAGAAATTAAATGAAATAATGTATGTAAACTATTTAACATTCCCTCTACCCATCGGATTCATGGGGTCGCAAAGAGTCAGACACGACTGAGCGACTGAACTGAACTACCCATCAGAATACAATGGGTGATGAAAACAAAACACAAACCCAACTGGCTGTCTTCTGGGCCATCTTCTTCCACCTTCAGCTCTGACCTCTCCCTTTCTTTGTATTCTTCCCTAACCCTCAAATCCAAAGAGAAGGAATTCCTTTCCCTGTTCTCTTAGAGGTGTTAGGATCAGATCTGGTGGGGCTGGAAGACGGGCAGGAGTCAAGCCCTGCTTTCACCCCTTCCATCATCTCTTCCATGTGAGAAAAGGTAACCCCAAAACTGGGGGGTCATACTCCTGGCTCCCAGTGGAAAGAAACTGCAAGAAACATTTTCTATCCACCAAGCGGTCTGGTTCCAGGAAAGATCTGGAAAGAGTAGGGAGAAGACAGATTCCAGCTCTGATCAGTGGGGGCACCGGGCCGGGTTTATTGCACTTGCAACAGAGTTTAAATAAGTCCCGGGTGTCCGGAGCCGAGGTGAGGGGAGGGTTGGGTAGGGAGAGGAGGGGCAGCGTCAGTGCAGCTGGCGGGCAGAGCCCAAACCCGCAGGCCCAGGACAGCAGGCTCCCCCTTTCTGCGGAGGACTGAGAGGGCCTACGTCCAGCCAGGGTTAAGGTTCCAGATCTTTTACCATCATGGCCCCTTCAGGGTCCTGGGCAATTCCTGACTTCTCCTGAGTCAGAGGTGGATTTGGTCTCCAGGCCCAGGTCTGGAGCAGGCTCAAATGTCCTGGATTTGCCAAGTTAGGTTACCAACATCTGAGTCTGGGTCCCAGATGAACTTCAGGCCCCAGAGGCCCCAGGTGCGATCTGGCCCTGTGAAAGTTCTGGTTCCCCTCGGAGCTGCTTCGGGGCCAGCGTGGATCCTGGTGTGGGATCTGTCCTGAGCTGGGCCTGGGGTGCCATCCACGGGTAGTGTTCTTCGTTGGCCCACCGGGGTGGGGGCTGTCCAGAGCTGCCATGTCTCGCTCCCCAGGTTCCAGGCTCTTAGCTGGGGGCTTCCTGTGGATCTCTGGCAAGGCCAACAACAGATCTCTGTGGGTTGGAGCTGGACAGGAAGTCCTGGTGCCACATCTGAGCCGGAGAACTGGGATTGGATCCCCTAGTTCTGGTTCCAAGGTGTTTTCAGGAAATTCTCCAAAATGCAAAGGTGGCAGGGAGGCTGGGGCCTCTGTCCCTGGATCTGAGTTCCCTCATCCATGAGGAGGGCATGTGTAAACGAGGGTCCTTCACAGTGCATGGGGGGAGGGGATCCCCAGCTCCTCACCTCCCGGCTCTGGCCCTTCAAGTATGTCTCTGGGCTGGGGAGAGGAGCTTCTCCCTGGCCCTCAGCACCTTCAGGAAGCGCCCAGCCCCCTCCCTGTCAGTAGACTGAGGGTGGGGGGAGTGGGCCTTCAAGATTGGGAGGAATCAGGCATCGGAGGTGGCTGGAGGCTTGAGCTGAGCTTTTTCCATGGCGGTGCCATACGGGAGGGAGCGTTTGAAGAATCCGAGCTAATGAGAAGAAAGGAGAGAGAATTGAGTTACTTCTCTGCAGATCTTATCCCAGGAAGGTATGAAGATGACTTCAGTGCTTCCAATCTCCCCATCTTGCAAAAGTGGCCCAAATTCAGTCTGTGAAGACTACCTCTCCAAGAGGTCTAATGGGCCAGGAGGGCTTAGGCTGGGGTGCTTTGGTGGTTTAAAAATGCCCCCAGTTAAGCCAGGTTTGGCAAACAGATTTGAAGTCTCGCTGCCTAGAAGTGGCTGCCTCTTGAGAAGGATTCAGAGGCTATTGCTAGAGTATGATCAATTAGTGACCGCTACCATGGGTTTCTGGAGCAGGTGACAGACACATATGCCACACACTGGCCACTTGTGAGTCACCTTGATTTTGAAAGTATTGGTAAACTTACCAGCTTGAGTCGAGAGAACTCTAAGCTAGGGTCTGTAGAATGAAAGAAGGGATGGTATAGACAGTGTCCAGAGGGGATGCATGTGGCTGGAGAACTGGTCTGGAGGCACATACTAGGGAGTGTGCTGGGTCAAGGACAGAACCTGGTGAGAGAAGGCCAAGTCAAGTAGGATGTGGCTGACCTTGTAGAGGATATAGATGAGCAGACCGAGGAGCAGGAGGCCAATGAGGATGGCTAAGATAATGATCCAGAGAGGGACTCCGTGGCTGCCTTCTGCCTTGATCCACTGCACAGCCGTGGCCACCTGGGGAGCAAGCCAGGAGAGATCACTGGAAAGCCACTGGTTCTTCCCACCCTACACTTGGCTCCCACTTCTCACTGGACTTAGAAACCCTCTCTCCCCTCCCACTTTAAGCTAACAGAATTCTGAACTTCAAATTTCTAAAATGTGCGTTATTGTTTCTTTCAGGCCTTCACACCTTTTCCTCGCCCCAGAAAAGATTCCTTTCCTGACCAGTTAGCCTGGTAGAGCCCAAGGATTCTTCAGGTCTTGCTTAAACATCACTTCTTCCAGAAAGCCTTTCCCAATTCTGCAAGTCTGTGTTCAAGTGTCCCTATGATGTGGTCCCATAAACATGCTGGTCCTTGTCACACTGTCTTCTTACTGCCCTGTCCATCCTGCTTATCATTGTATTCCCAGGACTTAGCACAGTGCCTGGCCCATAGTAGATGCTCAATCAATGTTTGTTACCATAATCAGGCCAGCCCCCGTCATGTCCCAGTCCTTGTGCCAGGCCCAGAACTCTGTCTTCCTTGGCCCAGCCTGCTGGCCTTAGACTTACCTGCAGCTCCTTTTGGGGAAGCTGCCGAGGCAGGATTTTATAGGGCATCTTCAGGGCTTCATACACGGCCTCACACTGCAGGCTAAATGGCTGGTGCGCCCGCTGTGGGTGGGGGAAAGGTGTTCAGGGTGGCCCGTCCTGGCATCTGGAGGACATAGGGCTCCCCAGTTTCTGGCTCTGGTTATAATCTTTCCCTATTTTGAACTCATTCTCTGAATCTCTCTCTACATTCCTTATAACAGAAAATAAATATGTAACTAAATAGTTATAACTGAATAGTGGATAATTAGATAACAGCATGTTGAATAGAAAAAAAAATTCTTGAGTCATTAATATGGGTTAAGCACCTACGACAATGTTTAGCCCATAGTGTGCATTCAACAAATGACTACCATTTCCTGTTTACACATCTGCTTGCCTCTCCATGATGGATTCATCCTCAGTCTCTGTTTTTCTGTCCTTATTTGCCGGCTGGTCTCCCTCCAGCCCTCCCCTCTTCTGAATGGGCCAGAAAAGGGAAGCTGTCGCTCCCAGTGAGGCCACTAGGTGCCGCCAAGGACACACAGCCCTGTCAAAACAACGTGAGGGAGGGGAGTGGGGCTGCCTGGGTCCCAGTCACCAAAGCGGGTGGCTAGGGCAGTGGGGAAAGCGGGGGTCAGTCCAGCAGACCTGAAGGTCAGGGGTCATGGGTCAGGACTGAGGTGAGGCTCCCTCACCTGTAGGAAGGTCTTGGCCCAGACGCGGAAATGCAGTTGCAGACTTCGGCTCTCTTGCCGGTGAAGTGGCCCCAGTTCGCAGCGCAGCTTGAAACACTCTGCTTCTGGGCATTTCTAGCGGAGAAATAGGAGGCTTGTACCATGACTTCTGCCCTTCTGGTAGCTCTGAGGACCCACGGAGCTATTCAACACTTGGGCACGGAGGTATTCAACTTACCAGAATCTGAGGTCCTGAGGAGGCAGGGCTCCGACCTGTAACATCCCGTCTTTGCAGCCGGTGGTGCTGGGAACCTTCAGGATCCAACTGCAAGAGGAAAGAGACCATTAGCTGCCTCTCCCACCTCATTACAGCATCTGAGCCTGCATCTGGGGTCTGCAGCAGCTTTGACCTGGTCTTCCATCCATGCAACTGACCACCTCCTATGGCAAGGCGGCAAGCTCGTTGTTGAATACGGAAATGAGTAAGATTTGGTCCCTGGAGTTTAGGAGGAGGTGAGGTGTCAATAAATAATTAGGGCACTGACTCTGCCTTGAGGCCTTTGCACTGGCTGTTTCCTCTGCTTGGAATACTCTTTCTCTAGTCTTCACAAGCAGTTTCATCCTTATCTTTCATACTCAATTCACCTGTTCCCTCCTCAAGAGGTTTTCCCTGACGATTCAACTCAAACAGGCTCCCAGCTTCACCCCACCCCAGCAGGTGAGCACTGCACTTTCATCACTTCTCAATATCTGTTCCTCTCTCTTCTAATTTTTATTGTTTATTGTGTGCACATGCTCAGTTGCTCAGTCATGTCCAACTCTTTGTGACCCCATGGACTGTGGTCCACCAGCCTCCTGTAACTATGGGATTTTTCAGGCAAGAAAACTGGAGTGGGTTGCCATTTCCTACTCCAGGGAATCTTCCCAATCCAGGGATAGAACTCTTGGCTCTTGCCTCTCCTGCATTGACAGGAAGATTCTTTACCACTGTACCACCTGGGAAGTCTTACTGTTTATCACCCTCCTCTAACTCCATGAGAGTAGGGACCTTGTGAATTTTGGTTACTGTGATATTTCCTGAGCTGGTAACATGGTTCTGTAAAGTCATTCATTTAATTTAAATGTTGTCTATGAATAAAATGAACTTTAAAACAGACACTGGGGTCTAGGGGAGTGGGTCTGAAGAAGGCTTTCCAGAGCGGGTGGTGCTGAGCTGGGCCCTAGGAGTATGCTAGGGCATGGAGTCAGGAAAGGATACTTCAGGCAGAAAGACAGAAGTGCAGTGCTTAAAACAATCTTTTCCCCTCTCACAGCCTCAAGAGGTCTTGTGGGACTTCTGACTGCCTTCCAGTGGCCTCCTAAGTCCTAGCTCCAGGCACATCCTCATTAGCTCTTCCAGGTCCCTGAGACCTTCCCCAACTACCATCGACTTGGTCCCCCCACCTCCCGGCCAGTCCCCAGGCTCCTCACCTCCAGGCCCTCTGGGTTGGGGGGGTGACTGGTGGTGCAGTTGCTGAGTCCTGTGACCCTGGTCACGTAGAGGAGCTGCTGGCCATCTAGAGTATAGGGACAGCTGAGCTCCAACACGCCCTGGCTAATGGAGCTGGGGCCCAGGTTGATGAGCTGAGGAGAGGAAGGCACAGTCATCATGGGAAGGGAGGGAGCGATTCTGCCCTGTTGAGACCCGGGTCCCAGTGGCCCACTCTTCCCTGCTCTGAGTCTCAGGAGTGAGGCAGGAAATCAACGGGCAGAGATGAAATCCTTTCCAGCCAACTCTTCTGGAGGTGTCTCCATCCTCCCTTCTAAGTCACTCAGTTGGCCAGTCTCTCACTGAACGGTCCAGGCCTTTACCTCTCCCTTCCCCCTCTTCCCCTCAGCCCCTCAGGCTGGCCCCAGCCATCTGTCACTCATACTGGCTCCTCCTTCCCTGTCATTCATTCTAGCCCCGCCCTCCACTCCCAGCAGCCCACTCACCTCATAGACATGGTGGACAGCTGGGCCCACGTCACCCTCCTCCTGCGGCTGGTCTTGGGGATGCCAGTCGCTCACTGGAAATAGCACTGCCTCGGGCTTGGAGACACTGCAGAGGAGGGTGGTTTAGAGGGCAGTGGAAGGGACCCCATTTCATATGCCTTCTTTGCCAGAAGTCGGTCTCCCCTCCCAGAGACGCCCCATTTTGCCCGGGCACTGACCCGTTGAGAGAGACCTGGGCCTGAGCCTCCACCGAGAGCCGGAAGGAAACCACGTCGCTTTGCGAGTTGTTAAGATTCTTGCTGTGGGACGGAGGAGAGCCTCTGATGGTGCTAGAGCCCAGCCGGAATGTCACCTGCACCAGACTCCGCCCCTGCCCCGCCCCCTCCCTACCTGAGGATCTGGAAGTCAAACTGGATGGTTTTCTTCGTGTCCCTAAGGTGAGGGACTGTGAAGCGAAGGCCACCCCAGAGCTGCGGGACAGGGAGGACGGACAAGCGGGCTGTTATACCAGGTGTCTGCCACACACCGACTGCAGCCCTCCTTCCCTTCCCCCCAGCTCAGCTCGGGGTGAGATGGTCCCAGACTTACATTGGCCCCAGCCTTCATGGGGTTGCCCAGGTCACACACCAGCAGACGACTCTGGTTCACAGCAAAATAGTCACAGCTCAGGCTGGAGAAGTTCTGGAGGTGGGGTGAGTGCAGATAAGGCTTCAGTGTCCTTCTGGCAGGGTCTCCTCCCAAGCCCCGCCTGTGGGTCCTCACTCACCCCTGGGTGTCTGACGAGTCCCGAGTACTCAGCCTCCGGAGGGGCTGTGACCCAAAGCTCTGCCTCGTAGGCGCCACCCTCACCCACATTCTGGGCGTGGAAAGTGAGGTTCAGAGAATTCTTGTCGCCCAGGTATACGTGGTTCTGCTCCCTGGAGGGGACACACAGGGGTCAGGGACATTGGAGAATTAATCGCCGAGCCAGAAAATGGGCCCTAATGATAATAATATAATAATAATAGACACCGTTCACTGACTTCCAGCTTTATGGCAGGCATTAGGCTAGATGCTTTATGTAGATTATTTCATTTAATCCTTCCAAAAAGCTAGAGAAATAGATGCTATTATTCTCACTATACAAAGAAGTTGTGTAATTTCCCAAGGTCACACAGCCAGCTGATATGTTTCTCTTCTACTTTTCCACGTGCCAGGTGCTTCCAAGCTCCACGTGTCCTGCTAGGCGACTTCAGCATCTGGAACCCCCCAGCCTGACGTCAGCCTTCACTCACCCAAACACTTCCAGCTGTAGGTCTGGCACACAGATATTGTCTTCTCCACAGTCCAGCAAGATCTGAGCCTGGGGAGTGGGGTAGCCTTGAGAGGGGGAGTTGCGACTGCCTCCCAAGCTGTTGGCTCCCCACTCCAGGGCCCCGTCCCCAGGGGCCCAGGCCCCTCTCCTCCCGGCCTGTCTCCCCACCCTGCCCTCACCTTGTCCTCTATGCGGTTCTTGCTCTGGTAGTGTAGGACTGGCCGGAGGCCGTGGCTGTCCACTGGGGCTTGAGGGTCCAGGGAGAAATTGAGAGCGATGTGAATCGGGGAGAGTTTATCTCGAAACTCTGACTCGTTCTGGGGCCGGGAGTGGGGGAGGGTTCACAGAGTCAGGGGACACAGGGGACTTGGCGGCCCTGCTCCTCATCCTCTCACATCTCCCTTTGTCCACACAAGACCCTCAAGAATTTAGGTGTCCAAACGACCGTGCTCATTGCTTCTGAGGCAGCCTGGTTCCCAGCTCCTCGGACAAAAAGGCACCCTTCCCCAGCCTCCCAAAGTCCCAGGTCCTTCATTGGAATCTCCCAGTCCTCCTCCTTTCAGGAGGGGTCCCCAGTTCTATGTGGCCACCCTCCCCAAGCCAGTCCACACCCCGCCCTCCTGCCCCTACCCTGAGGTAGATCTTCATCTCTCTGCAGTCCTCCCGAGCCCCGTTCTGGATGAGCAGGGTCTGGGTCAGGGTGGCCTGTCGGGAGGCCAGGAACAGCGCCCGCCGCACCCCGCCCTTCTGCTTCTGCCAGTCCAACTGGAGCTGCACTGTGAAGCCTGTGGCCACGCATGTACATTAAGGAGCATCTTCTCCTCCCTCCTAATTTATCCAGAGAAAAGAGGTCCCCAAGTGCCCAGCCCCTCCCCCTCTGCCCCAGTGCCTGAAAGGTTCAGGCAGTCTCCCTCACCGATGGAGTCAGGAACATGTTTTCCAGAAGCATTGAGGCAGAAGCTGAGGTTGATGCTAGAGGACCAAAAGGAAAGCTGGTATATTCAACTGTAACAGGCATCGTATTCTCTGCCTGCCTCCCAGACGGACCTGGACTGGGACAGTCCCATGTGCCCCCTTTCGAAGGCCTGCTCTCCCTCCCCTCTTCCAGGCACAGATGAGGTACCCCCAGACTCCATCCTGCAATCTCCCGCCCCCAGCCCCCTAACTCACCAAGTCACAGGGTTTCCCTCCAAGCTGCAGCTGTGCTCCTCTGGGTTGAACATGGCGGGAAAGATGGTGAGGGAGGCACTGGCAGACACGATGGGGCGACCCCTACCAAGAGTGAACGTGGGGGTCAAAGAACTAGGGCTCCTCAGGAACCTGGGCACAGGAAGCCGATGCCCAAGCCCCAGGATCCCAGTTTGTATACTTCCCCAAACTCAGCCCTACTGAGAAATCCCCCAGTTCCCGTGTCTCCCAGGCTGCCCCCTGCCCGAGTTCATACCTGTATACCACAGCCTTGTCTACACCAAAGGACCCCACAATCAGATCTGCAAGAAATCAAAAGAAACTACCCCTTAGAGCAGGCCCCCAAACAGAATTCTTCCCAACCCCTTCTAGCCGCATTGTTCAAGGAAGCTGAAGTGAGGGGGCATCGCCATCTGGTGGCATCATGCTAGAACTGCACCCAGGAGCTTAGGCAAATACGTTAGAGGCTAGGGGGTCTGTGACCAGCGAACTCTAAGGCGAAAGGGGCCTCGGGCACCACTCACCAGGGTATCCATTGCCATCTAGGTCTCGGCCTCCTCGAAGGGCAGAGCCAAAGAAGTCCGGCGTGTGGCCAGCTGCCCACAGGGGCAGCAGAACCTGGGAAGGCTTAGACGCCAGACCCCCTGGGCCCCCAGGGAATATAAACACCACTCCCTGCCGGTTCTCCCCACCAAAGGCAGCCCCAATGGCTACATCTGCAAGACACACAACACAAACCAGTCAGCAGGCCGGGAGTCCAGGAGTTCAGATCTCTACCACCAGACCCCAGGACCCAGGATCCGATTTTTCCCATCTGTCATTCCCACTATGCTAAACTCTTCAGGCCCCAAGATCTAGATATTGGGATTAAAATCCTCCAGGAGACGCTGGGGGGTCCTGGTTATCTTATCTGACAGTCACCTCTCCCCAGATGCCTTCTGACTCAGGCCCCTGGCTCCTCCTCAGCCACTCGAGCCCATACGGTGCTCACCATTGTAGCCATCCTGGTCTAGGTCCCCCAGGGGGGTCAGGGAGCTGCCGAACCGGCCAAACTCATCCTGGCCAGTGAGGGTCAGGGTGGGCGTGGGCTCCATGCCATCCAGGCGCTGCAGATAGATGTAGACCCTGCCCACCTCCTGCGGCCGCCCATCGGCTGTCCGCTCCATGAGCAGGGGCGCCCCTACCAGCAAGTCGTCCAGCCTGAAGATAGGGGAAACACCGGCATCCTGAGACCCTGCCGTTCCCCCTCCCCTCCTCAGTCCCAGTGCCAGGAAAGCCCAGGCATCCTGGATTCCCGGCTCTTTTCCACCCAGGGGAGAGACCTGAGATCTTCTGGCTTTTGGCGCTCAGCTCTCTCCTTGCCCCTGAGCCGAGGGAATGCAGGCAGGAGGAGAATCCAGGGAGGAACTCTCCTTGCGTTTTTCTGTCCCACCCCCACTCCTCACGCCTGGGGAGGGCACCACTGTGCGTTCTCCACTACTCACCCATCCCCGTTGATGTCTGTGGCAGCCACTGCGTAGCCAAAATAGGAGGCCATCTGGGGGGGCGGACAGAGCGGCAGCAGCGGGTCAGTACCAGGGAGTCAATCAACAAGGGCTGTGGGGGGAAGTCAGGGACTCCAGGGAGCCTGAGAAGTTGGGCTGAGGTTACTGACTCAGGGCCAGGGCTTGGTTGGCAGAGGGCCAAGCTGGGTTGTAGAGGGGGTGTCCTCACCTGTTCCCCTGAAAAGTTGTAGAGGGACCGGATGTCTGAGCCATTAAGGATGGTGACCTGGGGATGAGGAGATACACCCATTGATCCCAAACTCAGATGGATGGAGGACAAATGGGTACAGGATACCCAGGGGCAGTCATTCCTTGGAGACATAGACCACTTGTCCTGTAATTCCCTTCTGTGCTTTGCCTTCACCATAGTCTTATCTCTGTACTGGTAGCCCCATCTCATGGGGACTTCATTATTTTCCTCCATGTCACCTAGCAACCACTACTGACAGATTCCATACTTATCTGTCTGTTGTGCATCTGATCTACCTACTAGAATGTGAGCTCATGAAGGCAGGAGCTGTTTTGTTCTTTGCTTTCTCTCCAGAGTTTAGTCATGCTTGGTGAGAGTAGACACTAATTATTAGCTGAATGATTGAAGCCTCATCCCCCAGCCCTCCCAAACCACATGCACTCATGTCTCCCCCATGTCGCCCCTTAGTGGTGGGCGACACTGGTCTCTTGACTCATTCTCTTCCTCAGTCTTGCTGTTGTTCCTCTGGTGTGAGCCCTCCCCAAGGAATGCTGGAGAAAGCCCTGGTCTCCGCCTGCCTCGGACATTCCCTTCCCCTCACTGCCCTTCCCCACGGCACCGAGACTGATCACCCTAGAGCTGGTCTAGGAGGGACACTGCTGGCTTGGAAAATCGTGGTGGTTCTCCGCAGCCATGGCCCAATCTCAGCTTATTGGCTGGCTGGTCCTCTGAGGCCCTGGAGAATCTGGACCCAACCTATCTGTTTTTGCCCAGCCTCTCTTTTTTTTGTTTATTTGGCTGCACTGGGTCTTAGTTGTGGCATGCAGGATCTTTAGTTGTGACATAAGGGATATCTAATTCAGGGACTGAACCCAGACCCTTTGCATTGAAAGCATGGATTCATAACTACTGGAGCACCAAGGAATCCCCCAGTCTCTCTTTAGTCTGTTGTCAGTCAGCCCATGCTGAACTGGCCTGAATTGTTTCCCTTTCCTTCCATGCCCTTCTCATGCTCCGGTCTAGGATGCTGTCTTTCCTCATCTCCTCTGGTCTTTCATAGAACCTTTTCTGATCCATCCCCACCCTAGAAAGGAGGTTATTACTCCCCCTAAACTGCTGTATCATCTTAACCACTTTCCTGAAATTTACGTTAGTGCAGAAAGAATGCTGACTTTGGAATAAAACAGGTCTGGTTTTAAATCTCTTATCCAGCCACTTACTAACTGGGTGATCTTAAACAACTTACTTGGTCTCTTCCAGTCTCAGCTTTCTCATGTGTAAAATGTGACTGGTAATATCTCCCCCGATAAGCTTGTTGGGAAGAATAGAAATCATGAGTGGACAGCGCCCGATGCACTGAGGGGCTTATGCATAGGAGCTGCACGCTAGATTACCATCATATGTCTTATCTTACATACTTGATTAGAAGCCGTACAAGATGGGGTGTGATGTCTTATTCATCTTCTTATCTCATACCTTGCCCTAATAAATGTTGGTAATTGAATGGACTCCTATGGCATTCTTATCTATACCCTTTTTAAAGCACTCGCCATGGTCTAATAATAACAACTACAGTTGTACCCTGCCTAAGAGTTCACTAAGTACTTTCACGTGCCTTATCTCACTTCATCCTTACAAGAGCCTTGTGAGGTCAGAACTATTATTATCCCATTATTTAGAGAAGAGTGAGGCTCAAAGAGGTTAAGCAGACTTTACAGAATGAAGTGGGATAGGAACAATCACAGATTCATCCAGAGTAAGTGCCAGAACTTGAACCCTGGTCTGACCCAACAGCCTGTGTTCTGATCCACTTTTTGAGCCCTCCCAAATCACCATGCATGGTTCTTTGTGATTAGGCAGGGGAGGGGGGTGAGGGGAGGGAGGGTCAGGCTGGGCCTTACATAGCCGTAGGTGAGGTTCCCTTTGGGCACGCCAGCAACGAAGTCTGGAAAGGGAAGAGAAGGTTGCAGGCTAAGGGCAGGGGAAGGGGAGTCAGACAAAAATGTCTCAGTCCTTGGGGCTCCAGATCTGGGGTCTCCATCTGCCCCCTCCCTTGGCCCCAGACTGGGAACGCACTCACCTTCTCTATCATCACCACTGAATTCACCCACAGCCACAGAATATCCTGGTGAACAGGTGGATGGATATTAGGTTTCTTGCTTTGGGGACCCCTCTGTCCTGGCCCATCCTCAATCCCTTCCCCACCCCTACTGAGCCTTCATAGTCAGCCCACACATGACACATGGGGTGGGGGGCTGGGGATGCCTGGGTGGGAGAAGGGAGGCGAGGGGTGAGTGAGGACAGGGGCCCCCCGAGGTTCTCCCCCTGCAGCTCCCACCCCATTTGCTCACTCACCCAGGTAGCTGTCATCGTAGATGGAACTGGCCTGGCGAGTCTGCAGCTGCCCCCGAACTGGGTTGATCAGGTACCCGGGATAATAGGATTCTGCAATCTGCTCCTGGGTGGCGGACAGGATCTGGCCTGGAGAAGGGGATAAGGAGGGGATGGCCGAAGGAGGAGGTGGCAGGGAGTGGGGCACTTGGGGCTGACTGGGGAGACATTCAGGAGGGGAAGCTTTTGGAGGGTGGTGGGAGAGGATGGGTAAGTCTCAAGAGGACAGGAAGAGGAGTATTGGGACAGGGGCAGAGGAAGGAAAGATTGTGATCTTGGGCTGGGAGAGGGATGAGAGGCCGGGTGCGGGAGGCAGACGCAGGGACAGCAGAGGAAGGACTCACCTTGCCAGAAATAGCTTCCTGGTCCACCCAGGACCACACGTCCAGTCTGTGCAGGGGAAGAAGGTGAGCCTGCATCTGGTCCTGATTCCCCTGCATCCACCACCCACAGCCAGGTTCCTCCCAGATCCCCTCTCACCTTGGTGAACTCGGCACTGAAGCCCCCTTGGCAGTAACCCTGTCCTGCTTCTTGGCTGAAATCTGCAAGAGGAGAAGGTGGTAGGAAGATGCTCTGCCCAGACGGGTCACGCAGGAAAGAGCAGAGAGTTTGGGGAAGGCAGGGGGAGAGGGGGCCCTAGAAAGGACCTCTCTGGACCAGACAGTGGGCTATCAAGGCTGTTGGGGGGTGGGGGACTGTGGGGACTCAGAGAAGGCAGATGCGGGACTCACGCCACCCCTGCCCTACCTGAGCGGCAGGGTGCATACTCCAGAATCCGGGTGAAGTTGTCTGTGGAGAGGTAGCAGGTGCCCACGGGGTCACTCTGTGGCTCTTTCTCAGTGCGCCAGCTGTAGAGGGGAGCACAGGCCTGGGAGGGCCCAGGAGGAGGAGGCACCAGGTTTAGTCCAACGGGGCCTCTCTTCCCTCCCTCCTCACTGTGCTGTTATCGCCAACCACTACCCCTCCTGCCCATCGTGGCCCTCACCAAGATGGAGGAGCCATGGGCTCGCACTGTCGCTCCAAACCACTGCAGGGACTTGTACTCCACAGGCTCCTCTCCCTCTGGGCTGGACGTTGAGGACTCCAAGATACGAGAGCCTTGGGGAAGTGAGAAGGTGGGGTCATGCCAGCGGTGGGCAGCCGAGCCTTAGAGCAGCCCCTGCCCTCAGCCTGGGGGTACCTCGGCACTTGCAAGCCCCGAGCCCATGACTCACAGTGGGGGGAAAGTGAGGAAGGGTCTTCACAATCTGCTTGTTGTGGCCTGACTCATCTTCCGCTGCGTGTGTGCACATACACCCATGTGTGCACATATGCACATGTGCACACACACAGAACCTGGGGTTTCTAGAGCTGCAGTCCCCATGTGCTTGCCTCCTTACCCAGCTGGGACAAGGATGCTGTGATAAGGTGGGGAAGAATGGCTATTTCCTGAGAGGGCAACCCTCTGGGTGCACTTCTGTCTACACCTGGGCTTGTGTCTTAGCACCTGTTCTATGTCCTTGACCTTTCTTACACCTCTGGATCTCTGCCCTATGTCTGTGTGTGTGTTCATGCATCTGTCTGTGTCTATCCTTCCAAGCCCTCTCTGCCTTTCTTCCTTTTTTTTCCTCTCTGTCTTTCCTAAGGCAGCCTTTCTTATTCCTTTGCTCCTCACCTGTCTTTCAGATTAAAAAAATAATAATCATCAGGGACTTCCCTGGTGGTTCAGTGGTTAAGAATCCATTTTACAATGCAGGGGACATGGGTTCCATCCCTGGTCAGGGAACTAAGATCTCACACACTTCAGAGCAACTAAGCCTGTGCACCACAGCTAGAGTGTCTGTGTACCTCGGTGAAAGATCTACCTGAATGCCAACTACGACTGGATGTGGTCATATAAATATACTTAAAAAAAAAAAATTGGTTTTGTGCTCTTACACCACCCCTCCCTCACTGTCTCTCTTTTCATGCTCTCTTCTTTTGTCCCCTCACCCCAGTTGATCTATGGAGCCAGACTGCTCAAGTTCATATCCACGCTCCACCTCTTATTAGCTGTGTGACCTTAGACAAGTTACTTAACCCATTTCCTATAAAATGGGGATAATCATACCTCATGCCCTTATTCAAATGATGAAGTGCATTAATATGTGTAAAGTGCCGACAACAGTGCCCAGTCCATAGCAAGTGCTCTTCAAGTGTTAGCTTGTTATTACTATTTCTCAGCCTGTCTCCCTTGGTCCATCTCTGCATCTACTTGGGACCTTAAGCTCCTTGAGGTCGGTGGCTTAATCATGTTTCAATCCCCTGCAGCACACAGCACAGAGCCTGGCACCCATTATCACTTAGTCAGTGCTTAGTTAAAAGAATTGGAATAGGTTTTGTGACTCTCCCTGTCTTTGTCTGTGTTACTGCCCTGGCCTCCCAGAGTGTGGGTGATTCAGGGAAAATGAGAGCCACATGTTTCTGAATCATGCCCGCCCTTCTTGGGCTGGGCTGGACTGGGAACGTGGTGTGAGTGCCACGGGGAGCTGCTGCACCGCTGCGGCGCTGAGCTGGAGTCCCAGAGCCCGGGAGCACGTGGCCCTGGAACTGGTTAGGCTCCGCCCCGCGCTCCAGATCCCGCCCGGGCCCCGCCCCCCAGCCTCAGTCCCACCCTTTAGTCCCTCCCCGACCAGCGAAGCGGGTTACCTTTACTGTCAAATTCAATGGGGGTGCACTGTGTCGGGCTGGTGCCCCAGGGACAGAGGTAGACGGCACCGCCCTGCAGCACTCCCGGCTGGCTGGTGTTAGCCTTGGGCGCCCCCACCAGCACGCTGACCCTGCGGAGGGGAAAGGAGAGGCATTTCAGGGGGGCTCCTAACTCTTCTACAATCTCCCCAGGCGGGGAGGGGCTGACTGGGGGTGGGATAGATGCCCCCCGAGTTGTATTTATATCTCAGAAGATGCCACGGATGCCAGAGGCACAGGCTGGAGTCAGGCGGTCCCCATGTGCCGCTGTCACTAATACAGCCCCTCCCCCCCTCCCCCCACCCTCTTCTTTCCTACCTTCCCCTGTCATTAGAAGGAGGAACCAGATACAATTCTGGGAAGGGGTTGGGGCCCGAGGGCCTGGACCCCAACTTCCCCATCTCCCCTATGGACCTGCGAAGACTGGAGGTGCAGCCCCTGGGACCCCAGGGTCCTTTTACCTACCCTCTGCTCCCAAGCCAAAGCCCTTCTCTGGGCAAGACCCAGGCGTCCGGCTGCCCAGCCCTGGGGTGTGTAGGAGGAAAATGTGAGACTTGGAAATCAGGCAGTAGAAGTGGAGAGAGGCCCTGGAGGATGGTGAAAACAGACTGATCCCCGGGGCCTGGGCCTGCCCTCACCCTGGGCCCTGGTGGGACCTTCCCATCCTGGCTGGATCTCTGTCTCAGCCTCTTAACACCTTTCCCATACACCATCCCTCAAGTCTGAATTCAGATCTTGGTCTGCTGGGTCTTAGTTCTGGACACGGTGCCTCGTCTCCTCTGAGATGAGAAGGTTGCCTTTGCTGGGGTTCCTCTGTAATGGGGTGGTGTGAGGGAAGGTCCTGGGTAATCTTCCTGCCTCTGGCTCTGCCTCTATCACTCCTGGGTCCTTAGCCTCCAAGGCCTCAGTGCAGCTGGCAGCCCTCTGGGCTTTCTCCTCGAGTCTCCCATGAGGACCGCATCTGGCAGCCAGGGCAACTGACCCAGTGTCCCTGCCAGCCTTGGCCTCTGCTCTCCTCTCATATCTGCTTCTGGCATTGCTTCTCAGTCTGTTCCTCTGCCCTATGACTGCTTGTTCTCTTGGTTTTAGTTTTAGGTCTGTCCCCCTCTGTCTTTCTATCTCACATCTTGGCGTTCTCTATCTCTGTTGGATTCTGGCCCCTTTCAGCTCTCAGCACCCCCAGCACCCACCCTTTTCTAGATTTGGATCTCTTCATCAGCCTTTCTTACCAGGAGTCCCCAAGTCTGAGATTATGATAGAGATCACAAAATCAGGGGTGTGTGAGACAGGGGGATGGGATGGGAGACAGGATGGGTGGGGGAGGGGTGAAGGGGTGGTGTCCAAGAGGAATAGGAATGGGAACACCAGAGGGAGCGGCTCCAAGGGACTGAAGTGAGGGTGGCTGGACCAGAGAATGAGGATGGACGAGGGAGAAGAAAGGGTCCAGAGGAACAGGAGGGGAGGCCCGGAGTGAGAGTTCCTGGAGTGATGGGGGGTGGGGTGCCAGCCTCGGTTACCCTGGGGACAGGAAATGTTTACTGCCTGTGGCTTCCTGTCTGTTTCCAACCTCTCACTTCTCCGTTTGTCTCCCACCCGCCTGCTGGGCCCCACCCCTCTCACTTAGGCGGTACAGCTAGTTGGGGGTGGGTGGGAGCTGCCTACTCAGAGGCACAGTGACCCGGTTGCCTGCCAGGCCTAGTAGGAAAGGTTGGTGTTGGGGAGAGATTGCCTTGCCTGGGGCTGGGGGAGGAGAGAGGGAAACAGCAGTGGTGCAGGAGTTCTGGGGTCGGGCACTAGCTCAGTGGAGACTTGGGAATGCCTGCTTCCTCTGGGTGAAGAGGTTGCGATGGTTACCTCAAAGTCTTCTGGAGCTCTGATACTCCTCCAGGCCTTGGCCAAGGGACCCTACTCCCACTCTTGATTCTCCCACCACTTCCCTGGGTGGGGGAAGCAAAGCCTGAGTGTTCCTGGGTTGGCCTGAGGAAGAAGCCTGGAGTTTGTGGCGGGGCGGGAAGGTGTGAGAGGGGCCTTACAAGGTTTATAAATCCCACAGGCTTGTATGACAGGGGCCTAGGCTGTGGCCGAGTGAAGGTTCAAGGGGTCTGGCACGCAGGCGATGGACACAGATCCCGACCCAGACCTGCCCTGTGCCTCCTGTGGCTTACAACTGAGGATGCAGTGGTCCTTCCTTCCCAACTCCTCCAATTCCAGTAAATAGTGCCCTCCCCCATTGCCGAGCAAGGCACCCGGTGTCTGGGCTGGCACCTCACATAGCTTATCCTTATTCTCCCACTCCTAGTTCCTGCTTCCTAAATCCTACAGCAGATGGATCCTACTAGGGGTCCAAGAAGGTAACAACGGAGGGTCCTTAGGCTATTTTCATTATTTCAGAAAGCCTAACGGAAATCATGCATTTACCTGATAAGGCAGCCCGGGCTAATTAAAACCTCAAGTGTATTTGCTTTGGGCTGTAATTATATCAACTCCTGTGGGGAACCTGGTTATCTCATATTGGTCAGAAGCTCTGATTGGCAGCTATGGATGTCTTCTTGTTCTAAATTCTAGTTGATAAAAAACAGGAAAAAGGAATTAATTATTCCTTCCTCAGCGCAGCGTGGCAGATAAACTCTTCCAAACTATGGAGACCAAGGGAAGAAGTAATTGCCATAATTTATCCTGAAGCCTCAGAACCCTGGTATTCTAGAGTTGGTTCTTGGAGACACAGGCTGCCCCAGCGGGAGGGCACCAAGGAGGGCATCTCTGGGACTGAAGACTTTCTTGTAGAAGCCTCAGGGCTTGCCACATGGAGTAAGCGGAAGCCAGTTTGGTCCTGACACTGCTCCCCTTCTTCTTTCAGAGCGATCTCTTGTCTCTGTTTTATGTAGAATGCCTGGGTAAGATGTCACTTGAATTAGAAAGAAAAAGAAAGGAAGGAAGGAAGAAAAGAAAAAAGAAAGGAAGATGGAAAAGAAGAAAGAAAACTTTAACAAAAAATACAGCTTATCCAGTCCCATGTCCTCATTGTACAGAAGGGGAAACTAAGTCCCAGAGAAGTGAAGTCACATGTCCAGGATCACTCAGAATCTTTTCCAATGGAGGAGCCAGAAGCAGGGAGTCCTGTTACCTGTTCTACCCTGTTGCCAATTTGTCCCCTCCTCTCCACTATCTCGCCAGTCAGGCTTCTGATTAACCAAGTTCCTGTTCAATACATAGTTACTGTTTGACTCTGATGGCCTAACAAGGTCGGGGGTGGAGGGTAGCAAACGGACTAGACTCAGCTCCTGCAGGTCCTACAGCAGCCCTGCCAGGCCAGAGGAAACACCTGGTTCTGCGTCCCCCAGCATCCTCTCCAGGGAGATGCCTGGCTGGCTGAGGAGGAAGAATTGCCTCTACTTGTGGTAGTACTACAAAGGGCTAAGGAGGTAGGCACCTTTTAAGTGCACGTCTTGGGCCAAGTTACTGACTTCCCCTTTCCAAGACTTGAATTCTCTACCTGTAAGATGATGGGTTGCTCTTGGATAGTCTCTAAACAAACTTCTAGTTCTAACCTTCTATGACTCCTGAAGCTTCAGTTCATATATATATACACACAATGGGGACAATAAAGCTTCATCTGTCTAAGGCAAGGATTTTTGTAATGATCCAACAGAAAAATTGGTATGAAAATGCAAATAAATGTGCTTATAGCTATCATGCTATAAGCAAATACTAAAAGCAAGTAAGAAATGGTGAAAAACTTAGACAAAGAACTAGGTGGTGTCCAGGGAAGAGGGAACCAGAAACAAAATAGGTACCTCATAAAAGTCATGCCTCCCATGTACACTGATCACCCTCTGTGGACCAGGTCCCTTTATATACTGTCTCAATTAGTCCTCAGAACAGCCTCATAGGTAGGTGTCTGATTTTCAGGAGAAGATCAGGTTCCAAGATTGAAGTAGCTCACCCCAGATCACACAAAGAACAAGTAAGAGGTGGGGCCTGGACACACACCCAGCTCAACCTGACTTAAAGCCTGGCCCTTCCCTACCGTGGAACTCCTCTGTGGAACTTCTCTAGGCGCTTACCCTGCCCTCTGATGTTGTTTCAGTTTCCACCAAGAGAGGTGAGGGAGGGGGCCAAGAACACCGAGGCCCTCCCTCTCCAGCCATGGCCCCAGGTGAGGGGCTGTGTTTGCCCCTGCAGGGAGGAGGGCTTGGAGGCCCAGCTGTAGTGGGGAGGGAGGTCACTGGGGAGGTGGAATGTTCCGAGTCCTATTCTAAGAGTGCTTTGTACAGAGAAAACGAGAGGGGGAGGTGTGCAAGCTGGACACCTGGGTTCTCTTGGGAGGAGAGATGAGCAGAAGGGGAGGGGGAGGGGTTGAGAATGCTGGGTCCTGCTCTAGAAAAGGGCTTTGGGGACTACAGCATCAGGCCAGGGGCCAAACAGACACCTAGGGAACCCAGAATGTATGAAAGTCCAGATGTTTCAGAGGCGTGTTTTAAAAGGGAGATGACACTCTTGTTAGGTGGGGGTTGGGTAAGAGGAAGGTAAAGAGCCAGATAAGTGACCCCAGCCCTGGTGCCCCAATGTGGGGAAGGATCCCATCCCCTCCCTCCCTCTTCTCTACTCCATTAGGGTTGTGGTAAGCAATTTGAGGGGACCTGGGGGAGGCCAGGCCTGGCAGAGACTCCAGGCCAGGGTGATGCAATGGGGTTTGGGCAAGAGGCCAGGGGGGTGGGGTGGGGGTTGGGTGGGGACCTTGAATAGTCCAGAACCAACAGCTGGAGCTTAACCATCTTTCTTTTTTCACATCCTCAGGTCCTCCAGACAAAGGAGAAATTTGTCCCTGTACCCAAGTGGAATTACCTAGCTTAACCCCTTTTCTCCAAAGGGAAAGGAAATGAGTAGATACCAGCTAACTGTATGTGTAAAAACAGCTCACCTCTGACAGAGAGTCTATCAAACCTGGATGCCAGGGGTGGTTGTGGTGGTGGTGAAGGCCAGTGGTGAGGGGCGATGGTGAGAAGCAGTGGGGGGCTCAGAGCCCAGAGATGTATAAAGAGGACTCCTCCAGAGGTCGAGGATCAGTCACCTGGCACCCGGGAGTCCCAGACCGGGGGCAGCTTCCTTCTCCTCTTACTACCCCTCACTCCCCACATTTAAGCAAACACCCTTGTTTTCATGTTGCCTGGCTTGTCTCCCCAAGCCTGTGGGCTCCCCGTCTTCCTGGCACACAGGATCCAGGCTGCTTGTTACCCTGCTGAGTTGGGAACCGGGATCCTCCTTGGAGACTTTCCGGTCTCTGAGGTCCTGTGTTCTGACACTCTTGGGCCCTCGGAGCCCACGTCTCCTCAGCTTCCGACCCCAGCCCCAGAAGTCCCGGTCTCAGTTCAGCTCCAGCCGACTAGCTACAGGAAATCAGCTTTTCTCTTCCTCCCAAGAGCTAGAGGAAGAGGGAAACCGCCCACCCCCCTTCACGCGCGCACACACACCCCTCCCGACACATCCCAGTACCCGCCCTTGGCTGAGCCAGCCCCCAGCCCCAGTTCCCCCCAGGACCAGAGTCCCAGGACTCTCCCAACTTCCCGGATCCCCGCGTCTGAACAGAGATGCGGTGGGGGGTGGCGGGCAGAGTAGGAGACCGAGCAGGAAGGGGAGGGAGCCGCCATCCCCCTCCCGGGTCTTTCCCAGTCTGAGTTGAGGGGGGAGGGGAGGATGAGGCTGGCCCCCATTTAACCTCCGGGACCCTTTCAGCCTCCGACTTCCTTCTTACTACACACACACACCACACAGCTCATTCTGCTTCAACAAGTACTCTCTGAGCACAATGGCCTTCGGGGGTCCCGGGGTTCCCCAGTGCTCCAAAAAGCCTCCTGGCCTCCGCGCCCCCTCTCCGTCCCCACCCGCCTCCGGTCCCCGCGGTTCTCCAGTCTCAACCAGAGACCCTCTGCTCTCCTTTCCCGCGCCTCCTCTCTCTTGGCCGCAAGACCCCTGCCCAGACTTCTCCAGCTTGCAGCTTCGTGTCCTCTCCCCACCCCACACATGTCTCTCCGCCGATCGCTCTCAAACTCCTGCCCCCCCACTACGCCGGCCACTGTCCCCTCCCTACTCTAGCGCGGGCCCCCAACTTTAGCGCGGGCCCCCAACTCCAGCCCCAGTTCTTCCAAACTCCGCCTCCCAAACTCAAGCCTCGGTCCCCTCCAGACTCCAGCCGCGCCCCCAGTCTCTAGGCGCGCACCCCCGCCCTCCGCCAGCCCGCCGCCAACCCTCCTCAACTCACCCGTCCGTCCCCGGCCGGTAAAACTCCACCGAGAAGCCGAAGAAGGAGCCCGGGGGCCCGGAGAGCACTGCCGGGGCCTCCGCGTCTAAATTGAAGCCCCCGACCCGGGGCGGCGGCGGCAGCAGCAGCAGCAGCAGCGGCAACAACGGCAGCAGCCGGGGTCCGCGCCGGGCGCCCCGGCGCAGCTGCACGGCGTGGAGAGGGGACCCTGGCGTCCGGCTCCCCATAGCGCCCGCTCTTCCCTGTCCTGGGGCCACCGACCCGGAGCCGCTTCCTAAACCTCCCAGAGGCGAATGACTCAACGCGGGGAGGAGTTTGCCAAACTCCCGGCTGAGCCCTCCCCCCGCCTGCCGGGGGGGTGGGCGGGGGGGCATTCCTGGGTCCCTGGAACGCTGAGCCCGCGCCCCCCACCCCGAAGGGGCGTGGGGGGGGCCGCACCTCTCCACTTCCCTCGTCCCAGCCCCAGCTGGAGGCCGGTTGTCTCGACTGGGTCAGACTGGGCGGGTTTGGGCTCTCCCCCTCCTTCTCTCTGCTTCCCCCTCCTTCCTCTCGCATCCTTTCCAGATGTACAACGTAAACGCTCGGAAAAGGAGTCGGAAAAAGGGAGTGGAGAATTTCCTAATGAGGAAAGGAATCACCTCTGGAGGGCGGAGGGAGTGTGAAATATGTGTGTGGGGTCTCCCCCACTAATTCAGGGAGGAGACTCCGGGGTCTAAAGAGAGAGGAGACACCTCTGGCAGCTGGCCAACTGGGATTCCCCCTTGCCTTCCGGGGCCACGGGGTGCCTGGGTCCCAGCCAGCTGGATTTGGGACTCAGGAGTTGAGGTACAGAATGCTCCCAGTCAGCCTGATCTGACGGAGGACCTACACTGCTCTCCGCTCCCCGCGCCCCACCCCCAAGTTGCTAGAATTGAAAACCCAGGAGTCCAGGAGTTTGCGGTTATTCACCAGGAGATTACTGGTCCAAGCCTCCCCCTTTTTGGTTGTAAGAGTCCCTTCCTAGAATCTGAAGGTTGACCAAGAGCCTGGTGGTGGTGGAGAAGGGGTTGCTTTGGCCCCTCTGTCTTCTTGATTAAACTGGCCTGACTGCTACAAACCTGGAGAACTGTAGGAAGGGATGGGGTCGGGGTGGGGGTAACGGTGGGGGTAGTGTTTTGCAAAGGGGCTCAACATTTGGCATCTATTGCTCTTATGCCCTGGGAACTGGAACCCAGGACCCCATTCTCCCAAGATTCCTTATGAATGTAGAGGAAGCAACTGTAGCTGGAGAAGGCAGTGACCCCCCTGCCCAACCCTTCCCCCAGTCCTGGCTCTGTGTGATGAGATCACCTTTCAGAATTCTAGTCTTTATCTCAGTCTGGGGGAGGGGGACCAAGGGGCCTAGATTCTCTCCTAACCTCCTCTCCTTTCCAGCCCTCTTCCTGTCTTTTTCCTGCAGGACTCCACCTCTTCCAGAATAATACGCACCACCCCCCCTCGGAACTCTGACCCTTCTCTTCCCCATTCTGGCTTGGGGGACTCAGAATGCAAGTGCCGAGAATCAATGCTTTTTCCTTTGCTAAGAGTCTCCTCCTCAAACTCCACTTCCTGTCCCAGAGCACCCAGCTGTTTTTTTAAAAGCCCCTCTCCAGAGTCAGCTGCAGCCCAAGGGAGAGGCCAGCTGGTCAGACTGTGGGGTGATGCTGGCTCTGGTCCCACTCTCACATCTGCAGGTCCTGACCCTCTCTTAGGCGAGGAACCCAAAGAATCTCCCGGTCAGGATCTTAAAGCACAGTGCTACCGCGAAGGTAATCTCTAGGTGAAAGCTGCTCAAGCCGAAGGCTGAGACCCTCTCTGGGAGGAGACACGTTGAAGCCTGACTACTATATAACCCAGCAGAGCACGTGTATGTGAACCCAACTCATTCCTTTTTCAGCCCAGGCGCAAGCTCTCCAGATTTTCCCAGGGTCTGGGAGCTTGGGTTGGGGGTGGGGAGGGCTACAGGGAGGGAGGTGTGTGACTCAGCTCCTCCCAGGAGCCTTGGTGAGGGACAGGGGACATAGCGTCCTGCCCCAGTCCTCCTCCCCACTCCACCCCCAGCTTGGCCAAGTCAAACAGGCCCCCTCCCTGTCCATTCCCTGCTCCTGTTTACACCGGGAGCCCCTTAGTCATTCTCTGGCTGGCTTTTCTCCTCTCCCCAATATCCCTCCTCTCTTGGCTCTCTCTGCCCTTATAAGTCCTCTCCCAGTGGCCCCAACACCTCCTGCCTTTCCTCTCACCATGCCTGACTCTGCCTGGCCCTCCCTTCCTCTGCCCCGAGTCAGGCCTGCGCTTGGGGTCCCCTTCTAGTTGGAGCTGCTTCAGTGTAGCCCTCAAGGTCTGGTAGCTTGCTTAGAAAGTTCAGCCAAGAGGGGTTCCCTAGGGGTCATCAGCCCAACCCTCTCCTTCAGAAGAGGAAATGGTGTAAAGAAATGAAGAGACTTGTCCAAGGTCATGTGGCAAGCCAGTGAGCTAGTGGTGAGTCTAGAACCTAAGTGTTTCGACTCTAAATCCAGTGATGTCTCCTCCTAGCCCACTGCCCGCTCAATGCTCTGGCTCATGTCAACTTTTTCTCTGTGTATCTCTCAGCTTGTGTCTGACCAGACGGTGTGTCTCCAGGTGTCTCTGTTTCCTCTCTCAGATCTGGCCTCCCTGGTACCCTCTGGCCCTTCATTGCTCAGCAAGAATGATTTGCTGTGATGACTGATTATTATTAATCACGGTTTGCTTGACAGAGGGGAGAGAGGGTGAAGGGCAAGGACAGGACACTCACCAGACTCCTGCTGTCACCAGCCTTCCTGCCCTGAAGGCTGGAGCTTAGAAGAGACTGCATTTCCACAGAGGGGTTGAGGAAAGAGGTGAAAGTTTTAGAGCCAGGAGCCATGCTAAGTTTCAATAGGGTGGGAAAGGGGTGAGGACTGTTAAGAGTTTGTTTCGCATATGCTATATGCCTGGCCTCAGGCTTGACTTTTAACTTGCCTTTATCCCATTTCATCTTCTGAACTATCCAGCACTGGAGGTATTAGGATCCTCACTTTACTATTACAAAACCGAGGCTCAGAGAGTGAAGTGACTAAGACAAGAGCAACAGAAAGAAAGGGGCCGAATCCATATTTCATCCCAACTGATCCCAAAGTCCTTGCTTTTCCCACAGCACTGTTAATTTAGTCTCTAAACTGGGCTGGGACTTCCCTGGTGGTCCAGGGGTTAAGAATCTGCCTGCTAATGTAGGGGACACAGGTTCAGTCCTGATCTGGGATGATTCCACATGCCCCAGGGCAACTAAGCCCTGGAGCCACAACTACTGAGCCCTGGCACCTCAGTTACTGAAGGCCCTGAACACCTAGAGCCCTGCTCTGCAACAAGGGAAGACACCACAATGAGAAGCCTGCAACTAGAGAGTAGCTCCCCTACTTGCTGCTACTAGAAAAAGCCTGCATGCAGCAATGAAGACCCAGCACAGCCCCCCTCCCCCCCAAAAAACTAGAAAATTAAACTGAGTTGATTTTCTATAGGGGGAAGATTTTGGAGCAGGGACCTTTAACATAGGACCATTGTTCCTAGGATAGGGTTGGGGAAAATTAGATACACAATTCAGTAATCCTCTCAAACTGGATGGAAGAGTGTGTGTGTGTATGTGTGTGATTTCTCTGGGGGCAAGACTTGGGTTGTTTCTTCTAGGTTCACAAATTGCCTGGAAATTCTGAATGCATGGAGGCTGGATATCCTGGTTTCAGGGAATAATCTTGAGCCTCGTGGAGCCTGTAAGAAGCCTGGTTGGGTGGCATGGATGGAGTGAGGTATTTCTGGTAGTGCTCACAGATTGGCTGTCAGTGTGTTGAGGCAGGTATCAACCCCCTTAGCCCTTGAAGCCTGGAAAGACCTGGGACCACCAGAGACCCCAGGATGGTGGCTTCTGGCCTGGGCAACTTCTCTCACTCTGGGGATGGTAAAAATCTAATGTTCTCAGTGTGATAGGATGCAAAAAAAGAGTGGGAAGAGTTGAATGGACAAAAGGATCAGAGTTGCTTATTGGGTTTGTGTCTCTTTGGGCCCTCTCCTCCTGCCCCGTAGTGGCGGGATGAGAGGGAGTTTGTACTTTCAGAGGGGAAGGAAGGAAGGATAGAGTATACAGAGTATGGAGCTGCAGTTGGAGGAGAGTATCTTGGGAAACAGAGTAGGATCCTGGTTATCCCATGAGTCTGGGTCTGGATGCTGCTAAGATGGAGCACTGAGGGAATTCCCAGGTGGTCCAGTGGTTAGGACTCTGGGCTTCCACTTCGAGAGGCATGGGTTCAGTCCCTGGTTGGGGAACTAAGATCCTGCATCAAGACCAGAAAAAAAAAAAAAAAAAAATTGGAGCATTGCACTGTATGTGTGTCCAAGAGAGAAATCGGAAAGTACAGGATCCGTCAATATGAACTCTCAGGCTCTGTCACCACCCTGACTCAGGTCTCTGCTTAGGGGAACTGATGGCTCCATCATCTGTGAGTCACCACCCACCATCCCCACTCCCTGTCTGATCCAGATAGCAACACCTCCCCCATGTCCCGACCTAAAATACACCCAGACTCCCCTCCCCTTACCACCCCCACTTTGCTCAGAGCACTGGAGGGGTGGATGAAGGATGTTTGCTAGACATCCTGGGGACAAGGCCAGTCCTGGGATGCTCAAGTTCTCTTGCTCTAGGGCTCTGAACCTAGGGCTTGAGATTGTGCTCAGGTATTTCCGTTAGGGAACAAACTGGGAATTTTTCCAGGCTGGACTAGGTTTGGGAGGGACAGAGGGACAGGGATTAAGGGAAGGGCATTGATGGGAGAGGGGCAGGGCTAAGGGAACACTGGGGTAAAAAAATACAAGACCCAGGGGTCCAGAACAAGCAGATTAATGGGAAGGAATTTCCGTCATTCAAGCTAGTGTCTTCTTTTCCAAACCTTCAGTTTTTCTATTCTACTTCTTAGCCTTTTTTTTTTTTTTAAAGGCAACAGAAAAATGTAGCAACTTCACATAGGAAGTTAAAAGGGAAATAAGATTCTTTGTGGCATCCTAAACATTGGCCTCATTTTATTTGCTCACCCACCGCACCCCCATTATTTTCCATCCTTTTTCTCCCCTGTGTTGCCTACCTTTAGAGAAGAGAGGAGTGTCTGGAGCTTCTGGGCTCAAGGGCCTGGAAGCTGGAGGAGAGAGCCATCCGGGGTGGGAGCAGTGGGCGGGAGCGTCAGTTTCCTGGGATGGCCTTCCCAGATGTAAGCACATCTGGAGCCCATCAGGGAGGGACCTGAAACACCAGGATTCCCACTGCACACCCGACTGGGGCTGTGAGGAGCTGAGGATGAGCCAGGCGTTCCTCCCA